AGAGAAAATCTCCGTGCTGCAACAATCTCCTGATTCTTTCGTCCCAGTGACAAGCTGCAGCTCCCAAATGGAGTTGACAATGTCTTTGTTTTTTAATCAAATGGCATTGATTAAGAATCTTCTCATCGATCGACGCTTAAATCGACTATAAGGGGACAGCCCTAATCCATAGGTAACAAAATCTGCCAACCAGAATCTCTAAAGTTCACTAATTAACACGTCATATATTGTTTGCTTAATCTACAAAAAACTAAGAGTAGAAATGGCAAGTTGTGGTTTAACAGGGGATTATGTGTAAGAATATTTCATGACCAGCCTATGCTAAGCTAACTGACTGCTGGCTGTAGCCCTATATTTAAAGGATAATCTTCTCATGTAACTCTTCATATTTGCAGACATGCTTCCTCAGTTTCTTCATGTGTTTGTTTTTGTGTAAAAGGGAGGTGTTAATGCGCTAATGCTGGTTATTACAAGGTCCAGGTTCATCATAAAAAAGACTGCAGCCTGTAAAAGAGGCTATGTTTATCATAAACAGTGATGCGCTTTCCTTTTCCTCAGCATCCTCTGTCTGCACGTTTCTCCCTCTCCATCTCACACAAACTGAAAATGACTCTCATCATTCAGTGTGTGTTCTCCCTACAGCTCACACCTCATTTTGTTGTCACTAAACAGTAATCATCTGAAAAGGGCAGATTTTTATTACTACTCCTGCAAATCTCTAAAGGACCGTACAGTCAGGCTTCATCAGTCAAGCTGCTCCATGTGCAGAGGCTATGAAATGAAAGTGTGTGTTCTGTTTTCTGGAGTTGGTAACGAGCTCCTGGTTTCCTGAGACTGTAGCAGTGACATGGTTATGTGTGAATACTTGCACGGACTTCAATGGCTCTGCTATCAGATGAAATGCTCCATCTGTCTTTCAGCAGGTTTGGCAAGTAGCCATTGCTGATTCGCAAAATACATCTTATCGGTCATCTGCCCACAAAGAGAGCTGCTCAGAGACAAATACACAAGATGCATTCGGAGTAATCTGCCAGCAGATTTTCAATTAAGTGCCATTTTTGTCAGAAATTATAAATTCAGCAGATGACACATATTTTACCCTCTAGAAACTGTCTTTTTATGGCACACGTCCGTACTGGACTTTGCATTGAGGGAAAATGTTTTTATCAGATACTATTGATATAATGTGGCTCTAGTTTGGGGATGAACATTGGGGCCTTCAGAAGGTATTTAAACAAACTAAAGATAATAAAATAATTAGTAATGCAGTTGTGATGCATTATGGTGCAAATAAAACTGACAAATATGTTCAGAAAATCAGTGATTTAAAGTGTTTAAGATGAGAAACAGACCATTTTGATTTCTATGGTAATTGAAAGCAACAGAATCATACAGATTTGATTTATTCTTTATGAATTAACCTTTTATTAATCACATTATAATATAGATATTGAAAGATTTCCCTTCACTTTAATGGAGTTGGTGGTGTTTATTTTCAGTACAGCATGATAACAAGGCTCAGTTCACAGTGCCGGCAGTATTACACAGGGGCAAACATCCATATAACATATTACATAAATCCTCCACTCTGAAAATCATGTTGAGGCCGCAATTACAGCTAGTTTGGTTTAACTTCAGAATACTGAGTGTTCGCGTAATCACTTGGCCTAAGAAGAGACCAAGTCTACATTACATCATTCATGTACCGTCATATTAGAGATGAGCAGTAAAAGTAAAAAGTATTATTAGGTATAAATAATGTTATGGATGCAAGTGGTGAGCAAACAGCTTAATTGAAGTGTTGCAGTGTTAATCTCTGTGAACTGAAGATAGTTTTGTACAGTATTATATAACAGAATTTAATCAAGTTTCATGATTTAGTCAACATGGTTTGAATTAATCTCAAACTAATTCTGCAATGATTGCTGTCAGGTCACATAGAACTATGCAAGTACTCTATAAATAGTGTGTGGAAGTGTTTCTTTGCTGTTGCTTTATAAGAAACACAGTCCCAGACTAACAGTAGGCTTATAATAATATTCTCAGAGCAGATAAGCTCCTCACATAAAATAAACTGGCACTAGAGGGCACTGCATCAAACAGCAGCTCTCTAACCCTCTTACTGTAGTTTGGAAGAAAATAAAAAGAGACTTTTTTAGCCAGAGCAGCTTTACATGGAAATGTATGACCAGTCTTGTGATGTTCACCATGGAAACGCCTCACTCAGCGTCTGCAGTAACAGTGAACAGAGATGAGCCCACTGTGTTTTGCTGCTGCAAGTGTACTCACACATTAAAATACATGTATACATGCAATCTCTGTACACATGCATGCATATACATAATGCTAATTAAAACATCCCTCCCATTAGCATTTATAAAGGCTCTGCAGTTATTATTGATTGTCCATTAGCTCTTCCACACACGCGACATGTGGTTGTTAATTGTTAATAACTGCCGCGATTGAATTAATCTAGATATCATTGTTCGGGGCCTCGTGTTGTTTAATGTGGCTATCTTTGGTGTCAGACTTTTCTTAATCAAAGTTAATACAGTATTATTATTATTTTTATATCAGTGACCATCATAAGACATCAAACTTATGATTACACAAGTCAAAAAGATGACATAATGCCCTTTACTTAGATATAAAAGGTTGCAGAAAGAGTTTGAATTTTGCATTTCCATTTTAGTTGTCGTTAGTTTAGTTGTCGACTCGTGCTTGTGACAGTGAAGCAGCCTGACCCATTCACTTCAGTATACCACCAATTATAATTATTCAGTGGCATTTTATCTGTCTAGGACCACCAACTTGAGTCACAATGTAAGAAGAAAGGAATTAGATCTTCTGTCATCCTTACTGTTGTTTTGATTTCATATTTTCAGCTTTAGTTAATTAGTGTAATCACATGAAATTGTGTTAAAAAACATACAGCCGGCGGTATTAAACAGCAAGCTCTAAATAGTTTCACAAGAGGGACACTTTCAGACAAGGTGTCAGGTGTAGTGTACTGTAGGTTATGAAAAGGTCTATAAATATCTTCAAGCAGGTGGCTAAAGCCTGTGTGGCCCATCTGCTCTCTAACCCTTGGAAAACAGGATGCAGCAGTGTGAGTTTGTGTATGTGCAGACACATGTGTATGAGTACATATATGTTTTATTATTTGTCTTGTTATTCATAGATACCTCCTTACGGTCTTTTAAAAAGTGCTGCATGAAGACCCTTCAACCCTTATGCAACGTATACTGCCAATAATAACTGCCCTTACCATAACCCTAATGAGATAGTAGGTGTGTGTGTGTGTGTGTGTGTGTGTGTGTGTGTGTGTGTGTGTGTGTGTGTGTGTGTGTGTGTGTGTGTGTGTGTGTTTCCCAACCAGTCAGTCCATGTGATGATAAAACACAATAAGCCTCTTAGGTCTAATCCTGCTCCATTGGGAGGGGAGTGTCTCACACATGCTTACACACACACACACACACACACACACACACACACACACACACACACAATGAGTGCCAGCATGGCCAAATCTGTCACCCTGCTCAGGGTACTTGGGTTTCTGTCTTCCAGTGGGTTTATGTTGACAATCCTGCTGTTCAATGGACACAAAACCCTGAAAATTATTAATGACTGAGAATTCAAAAAAATACATGTGAAAGCACTTCTAGTCAGCAAACTATAGTACTGGGATGTCTTTCGTTAAATATTCGTGGAATATAAAACTATATATTAATTCCAACCACTCTAAACCAAATACAGAACAAGAATATCCAAGGAACTAACAAAAAAACAAACTACACTATACATTAAAAACAAGTGGTAAAAACATAAAATCAAACATTAAAATGTAATAAATTAAAAGAAAATAAACATAAATAAAACCAGCTTTCTCACAGGGATGTGATCAAAGTCAAATGTGTCAATATCATGTGTCATATTCATTTTCAAATGAAAAACGTAAAAATAAATAAATAAAACTTGTTCTGTTACTATTGTGATCAGAAACTGAGGCCATTCTGTAAATAGTTTTCCAATAAATATAGAAACTTCTGATCTGTTTTTACTTTCAGGCTTAAATTAACGACATCTGGTAAATTGGTTCAACAGATACAGATACAGATCATGATGTATTTGCTCACCACCATAAAACAAATAATGTGCAGTACAAATAAAGTACATAAAAGCATCATTCTGAAAATGTGAAATGAAAATGTCTCTTGCACTGTTGTTTTGTTATGTGTAAAAAATACTTTAAAGAAGAAGGCGAGAGAATAATTCAGATCCAGAGTCAGCAGGCTGGCCAGCCAATGAGTGAATGGATGTTGGTTTATGAGGTGCTTTGTATGTAGAAGGACACTAGCTGACTTAATCTCTCTCATAGGAGGAAGGACAACAGAGAGAGACACTTTACACTGAATCACATACAGTCCATAAACACAGTGATAATGTGAACAATTATATTTGGAAGAACAAGGTCTTCTCCGTAGCTCATTCCTGTTGAATGTTTTCATTACATTGAGTATCTAAGGATAGAAGGTTTTGTATGTTGAACAGATTATGAAGCAAATGTGTTTTGGCCTTCATAAAGAAAACTGACTTTACTTTGCTTTTGAAATGTAAATTACAAAGATATAATTCACACACACATAAAAAGGATTTTATTTTGATTATTTTCACTTTACATAATGCAGTGCCTCTTGATATAGATTGGCTCCACAACATAAAACGGCAGTATTTCTTCAGCTTTCATCCACTGACAGTTTGTGACCTGAAGCTCTCTGAGCTGTGAGGTTACAGTGAGCATCCAGAAGCTTGAACGAATGGAAATGAGATCAGTTCAGACATGCAAAAAACAACAGACATTACTTTATCTAACTTATTTATTCATTTACAGCTTGCTGCCTGACATGAAATGTTTGCCTAATTCACAGTGATTTAATGACTGTTTGTAGTATTGTATGAGAACATATCTTAAAATTAATTTTCTCTCTTTTTTTCAGATTATCTTTGTTCTCCAGAAGAAAATGTCCACATGATTGACTTCACCAGGTTTAAGATTCGTGACATGGAAACAGGGACAGTCCTGTTTGAGATCACCAAACCTCCAACACCAGGTCAGCTCCAAACCCTTTTATCTCTCTAGTGCCCTTTAAAGCAGTGGTTTCCAAACCAACGGCCCCCAACTAAGGAACATATTATATGGATACTTTACATTATATTCACTATATTCACTAAATAAACAGTCGAGAACAACTGATGAACTGTATAATGAACCAAAATAATGAGCACAATAACTGCAGGAAGTTTATGTCAAACAAGCAACTTGAGTGAATTTTGAGCAGATTATTTCCTATGAATATTGAATCAGAGATGGAACTTTTTATACAATTGAATAATAATATAAACTTTAAGTAACAATTTAATTCTTCACAGAAATTAAGGAAATGCTGAGATATACTGTAGATACTCTTTAAAAGGTCTTTTTAATTTTTTTTTTTATTATTTTATTTTATTTTATTTTATTTTATCTTATTTTATTTTATTACCAGGGACAATGCACATTAATCAAAATTGCATTTCACATTACACTTCAATGTAAATGTGCCCGTTTCCCTGGGCAGGTTATAACAAATTAGTGCCCATAATCATCACTACAGTGCTTCAACAAGTACTACAAAACAATACAATATATTACAATATAATACATAAATACATTATAAAAGTGACAGAGATTTATAAAAACAGTTAGGCAGTGCCAGAGCTGAGGTGGTCAGATTACTCATGACTGCAAGTTTGTCTGAAGCCATGTCTTTAGTTTATGTTTAAAAGTAATTAGTGTACTCTCTTAGTACAGTAGGTAGATTATTTCATTAATGGGCGCTCTAACTGAGCACCCCTTAAGATCAGTATGGCCTCACAACCGCCCTGTGAAGGCTTGGCAATCCCTAATGGGGGTCAGGACCTCCAGGTTGGAAACCAGTGTTTTAAAAGGTATTTAAGTTATTAAATGTTATTGTAGAATATTTTTTTGTCTCCATGATCCTGCATAGTATAGACAATATGGACTGAGGACATTTTCTTTTAAATGTCTCTTCTCTAGCGGGAGACAAAAAGCACTGTGACCCCAACGCCGGCCGTTTTGTCCGATACCAGTTCACCCCAGCCTTCCTGCAGTTGCGGCAGGTTGGAGCCACGTAAGTTAACCTTTAGTGTGTATTTGTTAGATCCAAATGAAAAATGAAGACTGGGAAGCAGAGAGAGACATGTGAAAAAGCTGAATGATGCAGCAACATCCGGTCAACCCTGCCGCACTGACAGAAGACACATACCGGATGTAGGAGGTGTGTGGGCGTCAGTGTGGGACGACAGGCTGACGATGATAAGTGCCAACTCACAGAGCAGCCCAGCCCACCTGCTGAGTCAGGCACTAAATAGCTGTCAGTGCTCCTGAGTGGTGTTCATCATCATCAGACTCCTACTCTGATTTCAATCCAACCCGACAACTGACTCATGCATATAAAATATTGTGTTTTTTATGTTTATTTTTACAACATTCACCCAACCACCAGAAAATAGACATTAGTGAGATTACTATTAAAATAAATGATGTTTTGGCTTTACCCTTAAGGTTTACATCGGGACAAGTGTTTTAGTCACTAATGGTGATATACTAATGCACTTACTGTAGTTGTGTGCACTTACAGTTCTTCTGTTCAATGACACATTATTGTGGACATTGCATTTAGATGTGCAAAAATGTCTGAGCATAGCGGGCAGAGTGACACTTTGCACTGAAAGTCAGTCAATTAAGAGAACCTGGGGTCTTAGTACCATTTTGCATCTTAACAATACAGTACAATAAGTGTTTTCTTGTGGCCACCATTAAGTTTCAGTTCCCTTCCAGGGGATGAAGTTTGGGCACCCCTGATTTAAATAATCTAGATCTACCTGTTTGACCGGCTGGTTGGTCACTGGACCCAGATGGACTTTGTTGTAATGATGTTTCTGTGTTCTCATGTGTGTTATTTTGGTAAGTACAATGTTACAGCCGTTAGAAGTGATGGCCAAATTAGGTCCAAGTTGAAATTAACTGGAATTAACCTTTAAAGTTTAGCTGACCTGTGAGCAGCCTTCATTTGCCTTTAGGTTGGTAAATTATATTTCCCCCCGTCTCTCTGCAGAGTGGAGTTCACAGTGGGAGACACACCCATCAACAACTTCCGCATGATTGAGAGACACTACTTCCGCGATCAGCTGCTCAAGAGCTTTGATTTCGAGTTCGGCTTCTGCATGCCCAGCAGCAAGAACACATGCGAGCACATCTATGAGTTCCCCGCACTGTCTGAAGAAATCAGTGAGTGTCACAATACACACCCCAAGAGACAAATACACCCACACACAGACTCTCTAACAGGAATTAAAGGTTCAGTGTGTAACATTTGGGAGGATCTATTGGCAGAAATTGGATACAATATGGATAGATCTGTTTTCATTAGTGTAAAATCATCTGTTAATAAGAATTTTTCGTAACAAACACTTAGAATGAGTCACTTTAGGAGGTCTTCTCAGGCCGCCATTTTGAACTGCAATGTTTCTACCAAAGAAAGGGCTTTTTACATTCTTAAGTTTCTCCTACATGCTTTTGAAGGCTGAGATGTATTCAAATGGTGGCATTCGGCAACTTCACTGCTAGATGTTGCTGAATCGTGAACACTGGTGTAAAGATACAAAATCCTGAGTGTTGTGTGTCTTTTTTCTCTCGCAGTGCAGGAGATGATCCTGCACCCGTATGAGACGCAGTCTGACAGCTTCTACTTTGTGGACAACAAGCTGGTGATGCACAACAAGGCAGACTATTCCTACAGTGGAGGGCCATAGGAAGACCTGCCACCACCCTTTCACTCCTCCCTATTCTAGACATTTTCCACGATCCATGTACCACTTCAGGACCAGAAACAGATGAACTGATGGACAATTCGCTGGCATTAAACTCTTAAACTCACTCCTGTTAACTCCATGAATTTCCATTCAGGTATTTAGCTGCCAGACCAATAGATTTCTCTCTCTGCAGGAACATCGAATTCTGTCAGATTTATCATCAGTTTGCATCTGTGTGTGTGTGTGTGTGTGTGTGTGTGTGTGTGTGTGTGTGTGTGTGTGTGTGTGTGTGTGTGTGTGTGAGCGAGTGTGTGGGGAGCAAACACATGAAGTGTCTGTACATACTGTTGATCTCAGTCTGTATATGTGGGTTCCACTTGATCATCAGGAAAACACTGATCAATTTACATTTTGTGTGTGTGAGTGTTTTGATAGCTAATAATATGAAGAGAGAAAGGAGACAGTGAGTGCTGTTTGTCTTCACTAAACCAGACGAGGCAGAAAACACACCATGAGACGAAGAGAGAAATGACGTTACTCTAAAGAAGTTAAAAAAAAATTTAATCCATTCAGATGTACATTTATATAGTTTGTATAGGAATGACATTACATTTTCACTCCTGAAGTTTCTTAAATTTCTAGTAGCACACATCCGAATGAATTCTCCCATGATCTTGGTCTGTCATCGTTCATTTGAGTGACGAACAGAAATGTGTACTTTGTCAATGTGAATGTGTCATTTGTTGTATGTTTTCATGTTCATAGTACTACTATTTCAGGAGTATTTTTTAAATAAATAGCCATTTTAAATTGTCAGAAATCCTACATTAGCCAAAAGTCAGATACCAATTTTGATATCCAGTACGTGCTCTGTAGTACTGAACACTGTGTATACTTAATTATGATAAATGTTTTAAGTATAAAATGAAAAAGTATGTAAAGTTTTGACAGCGGAAATTCCATCACTGCAATAAATATGGGATTTTTTCGAAATCGTGATATCCATTGGGGGTTTTTTCTTTTCACAAAACATGGAGCATTACACTGAACAGAGAAAGTAAACAGTACAGTAAAATGAAATCATGTTGAGCAGACAAAAGATTATAAAAACAGCAAAGCATAAAAAATCTGAATCATAGGATATAATATATATATATAAATATAAAATAACAGCAATGAAAACCAAGTAACTATAAGCCATAGGGTATACTGCTGGCATTGTGTTCAACTTTATATGTTTAAAATAGAATTTATTTTGTCAGCCCCTTTTACTTTTATTGGAGAAGATTTATTCCCACATATCATGTTACCTGATTCAGTAGTTAAAAATTATACAGTATCTTCTCTAATAAAAGTATGATTGAGTTCCAGATCCAGGTTTAGAAATGTACCATAGTCCAATAAACCTTTTAAGAGCAGTGAATAAAGAACCCTTCCAAAAGACATAAAACGTTCATTAATCACTTGAGTCTGATTTTCTACAAAAAAGTTATCTTATTGGAAAATTCAGAATCCATGCAATTATTCTTAATTTCTCAAAGCAAAAAACAGAAAAAAACATGCTTGTTGGTCCCTTGGTTCACATCTTAAAGTCAGAGAAACTTTTCCACCACAGGAGCCTTCCAGTGTCAAACTCAAGTATCAAAGTGAAATAAGAAAATAAATAAGAATAAGCAAAACAGTCAAAAAAGTTAAAATAACACTCTTTAATTAGTTTATGAACATACTCTTACAAAAACAGAAACTCAGTAACCCAAAAGTGCTAAAATAATGTTATCTATATTCTCCATATATATTTATATTTCCCCTCATGTTTGTCAGGGCGCTTAACTACAGAAAGTAAGAACTAAAATATAATTTAAAAGATGAGAATTACATCAGAAGTGTCTTTGCTGCCATCTTCTGTGACAACAGTCTTACTGCACTGTTGCCATGACACTACATATCATCATCCATCAGGCCTGCACTGGTATTAGACATCAGTGTAAACAAATGTGAGAGAGCTTCTCTAATGCTGAGCCCTTATCACAGTGGAGCCAATGGCTGCAAAATATAACATACATATTAAATACATTATCTCACAGATCTGCTTTTAATAGAAATAATAGTGTTGTTAGCAATATTGTTTTTTGATTTATGACAATAATGTTATAAGGAGTTCGGTCTAGACCTGCTCTATTTGAAAAGTGTCCTGAGATAACTTCTGTTATGAATTGGCGCTATACAAATAAAATTGAATTGAATTGAATTTGATTGATTTGGAGTTTGAGAATTTGAGTCCAATATTCCTCTCTTTTATCTGTGTGTTTGGTCTCCTGAGGGAGAACTGGCTCTTTAGCTGCTAACTGTTAACAGTGGACCAAAAGTGTGAAAAAGTAGGTTAACAGTAAAATATTAGCTGAAATTCAGTATAAAGCTCCATTAAGAGAAGTGAGCTGCAGATTCAAACATTAAAAGGGTGACTATAATAATGAGGTAAGCATGATGATCCGGGCAACTGCACATTTGTTGCAGTTGTCAGGTCATGGAAAGGTGCTTAAGCAGAAGACATCCTCTAAGAATGTATGTGTGTTATGCTTTTAATATGGAGGAACTGTCCATCCATCCATCAGCTATGTCCTTAGAGTAATCCTTATCCCCTGGAGCTAATTCCTACTGACAGTGGGCAAGAGGTGGGCTACACCGGGCCAATCACAGGGCTGACACATAGATATAAACAACTATTCATGCATACATTCACACTACAACAAAATGCTGGTACTAATCCCTTGAAAACAATTTAAATTGAATATGAAAAATTGATTTACAAATGACAAAATAAAACCTCCAATGGTTATTTACAGGGACTTTGGATTAGGATTTGTAAATCAATGTGACAATACAATTTGTAAAAGGTAAATAAATAGCTAAATTCACATAATTTTGCATTTTCAATATGCAATTGAAATACAATTTTAATTCATTTAATTCAAAGTGTGTCCCTGTGTATGATTTTGCTAATTCTGTGCGTACTGAAACAGAAAAAAAAGATAGACTTTTTTATAGACTTTTTTTTATCAGCTGAACTTGTCTTAGTTCCTCCACAGAGTTTGTCACACTGTAGTAAACAGAGGATCGGATGAATTTAGTAATCACCAAGCTAATACTGTGGCATGAAGCTGCCTGCAACAATATTTCCCATTCAGCTTAATATAGTACATTGATGGCCGGTAGAGGGTGACGCAACCGAAAACAGTCAGGTCTTTACATTAAAGAGATGGATGTGGTACAGGAAGTCAGATACCCAGCCAGACTCTCCATTCCTGAATAAACCACAGGATGCAGTCCATTCAAACAGCCGTGCTGCTCTAAGTTTCTTCCAATGTCTGTGTTTTCGTCCGTGTACTCTGCTTTTCGACGACTGACAGGAGGAAGTGTGACCTGCAGGGAGCTGGTCTGGATGTTGTGGTCCTGCAGGGCAGACGTAGTGGACGGGGTCGTAAGGGTGACTTGTGGATCAGATACCAGGCTGTCGTCCCTTAACTCCTCCCACAAGTTACCTGAGAAAATTAGGAAATATCAGGTCATTGTCCAGTAAACAATAACACCTGCTGCAATCAGAAAGGAACTCACTTCCTGCTCATTTTACTTATTAATAAAGTGATTGAAAAAGAAATATAGATCATTTATGTATAAGGGAACACTAACATTAGCTGGCCAGAGTAGCTTACAGTATGCTTGCAGCCATGGTAGGCCCGACACCAGGGGAAGTAACTGAGGGTTAACCATTATTAATTTACCATGCAAAAGCCTAAGAAACACTAAATAACAACAACATAAAGCTACTGTTTCAAAATCAAAGAATACATTTATTAATCTGAGCACTCACATAAGACCGTAGCACTAGCAAGGCACTAAATATTCTTTGAATTTATTTATATGTACAGATTTTATATTACCTCACAGCATTGCTAACAGCTACTCTTTATCCCACATTTGGTTTATTGGGATCTAGTCACCCTACTTAGGAACCCTGGTGGCGCTGGGCCCAAATCGAAGTTGCATTTCTATTTCCTGTCCCGCCTGCTTTTCATCACAGGTTGCGTTTAAAGCCCAACATGCATGTTCAGCTTTTTCACACATTTAGATGTGTCTATGACAGGGTTCTGCTACTGTTAATGTGGCTCACTAGGAAACAGAAAACCAGCCATCATTAATGTAATTAATTGGGACCTTTGCTTTTGTTTATTTCACATGAAAGAGCCTGCTGAGGTCTCTGCTGGTCTGATAGCAGCGTAAGTGTTTAATTTACAGAATTGTGTTCATCGGCAAATGATAGCCAGACTTTGTACCCAAACAATATGATGCCACATTTTCACACCCTAGTTACAAAATTAAGTAAGCAACTACTAAAATGCTATGAGCAGATGCTAATAGCTAGTTAGCATAGAGCAAACACAACAATGAATATAATACAAGATTCATTTTTTAATATAAATAAAATAAAAAAATAAATATTATAATCATTTTTTAAACACATTTGGTTATTAAAGACTTATGACCAACATTATGTACCAAGCAGGACATTTTACAGTTCCTTCAGTCAATCAGTGCTCTCTGGTGGGCAAACTATGTAACTGATAAATCTGTGTGCTGTAAGCCTTTCTACCCATCATATTGTCTCTATCTGTCTCGTACCTTGCAGCTGCAGGTCAGTCAGACTGGGGTTGAGTGTGTCGATGTCATAACTGGCGTCTCCTTCCAACAGAAAGTCCTGCATGCTCCTGGGGCCAACGCTGTACTCAGCCTGCAGGGCGGCATTGTAAACAGGTGGCATCTTACCAGCCATGGGTGAGTTCAGGCCTCCAGTGGCTGTTGGCTGTCCACAGGGTGAGTACAGGGCAAATGAGTTGCTGGGGTTAGCAGCGGCAGGGAGGAGGTAGGAGGGCAGCTGAGGTTGAATATGGGAATAGTGTGGACGGCGAATGGACAGGCAGGGGGGCTGAAGCTGGGCCGGGGAGCAAGATGATGAGGTGGTGCTGTAGATAGGGGTCACTCTGGATAACAAAGCTGGGTTGGTGTAAGGTGGCAAAGACTTGAGCTTCTCCGGTCTCTCTCCCAACAGACGGTCAAGGTCTTCTGTGGAATTAGTGTGTATCAACCAAAGTTTGAATCAAGTAAAACAGATTAAACATGTTAAAAGGTCAAACATCTGTACACTACATCATAATGAATTCATTGTGAAAACAATCCTCTAACCTGTTCTGTCCTTTGGTATTTAAATCTTCCTATAAGAGGACCTACCTGGCCTCGCCATGCTCCTGCGAACAGTGACCGGGTCCTTGCGGCGCCACTTGTGCAGCTCCTCCTGCATTTTCTCCACCTTGGCTGAATTGAGAGCCCACAGACAGCCTTTACGGGACGAGTTCCCATTTTTGTTCTCCACCTTCACAAAGCACTTGTTCAGGGAGAGGTTGTGACGCACAGAGTTCTTCCATCCGTCAGGAGCTGTCTGAAAACAGAGAGGGTTCGAAAGATGAGAGAGAAAATGGTTTAAAGCAGCTTTTTTTTTTACCCTTTAAATACTGTATATATGTTTTATCAAATTGATCCATGGTACATGAGTATGCATGATTAGGACTGCTAGATTTTCTATATAAAGTGTCAGAAAATAGTAAAAGAAAAAAATCTCTTAATTAATTGATCATGTTGCCAAATTAGTTTATGTTGACTAAAGGATCAATCAAACCAATTGTTTTAGCTCTATGCAAGCTGTTCAGTTCTTAAGTGAAGTATCCATGAATAATTAAACAAGAGTCTACAGCCATGCTAGCAGCTCTGAGAAGCTACTTAGGCTCTGCAGTGCTTTGAGCTAAATGCTAACATCAGTATGCTAAAAGTATCATAAACCAAAGTACTGGACAAATAGTAATTTTGACCTGATGATGGCACTAGAGAAACAAAATTTTATGGAAATACATCCCATGTCAGTCTGGACCAAAGTGGTAGACAAACCAAACAACAGACAGACATAACTGTGACTAAAAATTCATTAATACTTCTTACATTATTTTATTTTGCATTTGTTTTACACATTATTTTGCCCTCTCTTGACCTCTCATCATATTCAATAAAGAGAGAAAAAACTCACTACAGCTCTCACCCACTGCCTGAAACACATTCAATGTCTTTATGTCAAATTAAGTTCTTACACATTCACAGGCCCTTCCTATTAAAATGTGCATTAATTTTTCCACCATCTGCAATGTTTGATGTCTGCATGCCATAGCAAGTGTCCACTCAACTGAAATGAACTCAAAGATACTTGAGAGTATTCAGAAAGTATAGAGATGTGTCTTAAAAAAAATTAAAAATACTTTGACTTTCCTTGGTGTATAACTAATGATCTGCTTCATTTATTTTCTGGCCCTGCAGCATGTGTTTAATGTGACAGGCAGCTGTTTGGAAAGCAGCCATAGAGCACCTTCTTTCATATAAATGGCATCCAATCTTTGAGCTCTTTCCAGAATTGAATTCCTGGAGTCCTTCAGAAAATGTAAATTATTTGTACATTTTCTGAACCAAGGTGCAACCCTGCAGCTGGCTAATGTAATACAATATTAAAGCACGGGGCATGAATTTATAAAGTGCTTTAATCCATTGGTCAGTAAGAGATGAAATAGTGTTGGCCCTTTTTTATTGACTGTAATCGATAGTGATCCTATAGTTGGATTATTGATTGACTACGAAGACTTAAAACTAAAAATTTAAAAAATACTCACACACTGCCTACACACACTGCCAAAATAAAACAGACACACCTCATCATTTTACTCCTCATGTCTCAACAGGTAGCTGGTCCAGGATCACCTAGCTGCATTTTTGTAGGGCTTCATTAATCATTAGAGCGATATTATGAGGGCAGATATGGTTTGGGATGATCTTTTACTTATAATAACACAAGGCAAACCTAAGTGTGAACTGTTCACCTTCCCATCAGAGGAGGACAGAGGACAGGATAAATGACCGATACTGATAACGTTCTTCATTATTTCTAAACTTCACTCAGTGTTTTCACGTCAAGAATATGATTTGTATTCATTTTTTTATACTGTTGTAAACATAAGTTAAAATATTTAATTCTAATCTTGTTCTGAATGTTAAGACAACCAGACTGACAGGAACTGTAAAGCTAATATGCACACTTCAATATCTGTTTATTTATGTTTATTTCTCATATTGTGCAGGTCTACTTAGGGTGGAAACTTGACCAATGCTTTGACCAGCCAAAGTTGACTTTAGAGATCAAATCCTTTGGAGGCAGTGAAACTACAATGGGAAAAAAATGCAATATTGTAAATATTTGACGATATGAACTGAGATTACTGTTTTTCTTGGAGCATGAACACTTCAGTGGTTTAAATTCAGCCTGTAATATAGAAAATATTAATAGTGATACCTTGAAATAGGGGAAGTGTTCAGTCATGAAGCTGTAGATCTCACTGACTGGCAGGCTTCCTGTTTTACTGTTCTTCAGAGCCATGAAGATCAAGATGCTGCAAGCATGAAGGAAACACTTTTACATTAGCATTATATATTATTTATATGTTGGGTTAAGTGCAAACAAAGCACTTTTTTCAACATGTTAAGCACATAAGAATTATACACATAATATTGGTAAGCAATAATATAGGTGTTGTATATGGTGAAATGTTACACAGTGTTACCTGTATGAGTAAATGGGCTTGGGGAAGAGGGACTGTGTGCTGTTCTCCTGGGGTGATTGAGTGGAAAGAGAATATTTTGAGCCGTTCAACTGGTCATTATTATGATTCAGTCTTGATGAGACCTATAGAGGACACACACAAACACACACACACACACACACACACACACACACACACACACACACACACACACACACAAATATCATGACCTGCGAACCAATAAAAGCCACAGCATTCCTCTACGGTTCATCCAACACACTCACCTGTTGCAGGGGGCTCAATGAGCTGTAGGATGGATAGCTTTGAGACAAGAAGCAGGAGGGCTCTGCTGGTGCAGCTGGTTGTTCTGGATACGAACTCTGCAAGTATAACAACATAACAGGAGGCTTTTTCATATTTGCTTTCATATTATGCTTATTAAATAGATTTTTTTTAATGTAATAAATACATTTTGCAAATCAATTTCAGCCTAAAATTAACTTTGTGGCATATACCTGGTTTCTTTTGGCCACTTGGAGGCTGCAGAAATAGGTAGCGAAGACAACACTGACATACGGCAAACTTTTAGCAGACAATTGCTGCACAGTTACAGATAAACATGAGAGTTGTGTTTCTGTGCACCTGTTGATTATAAGTCCAATAGTCACTTTCTTTTAGCTCCGTTTTTGGTCTCACACCTGAAGGATATATATCGGTCTCTTTGTATCTGTCTACCTGCTGAAAATGACCCCGAGAATGAACCAAAACAGTAAAGCTATGAGACAGACAGCTAAACAATGAGTTGAAACTCTCTATGAAGCTCCATAAAGTTCTGGCAGGACCTGAAGATTCAGATAATTCTCTGTAGGTTCATCAACTCACAAGCAACAAGCAACTCCTTTCACATTGTCAAATTTGATCCATTGCTATTCTGTGTGTCAGTGTCATATTCCTAACAGTGTAGTGCATCTTTTTCACATTTCTGGTCATCCACTATGTTTATCCACTCCTTTTCTTTCTCATTCATGATATAAACTAGTTGTTTTGGACTGCACAAAGCCTTCACTGAAAAAACAGGTGAAATTAGTACCAGAAGTATAGAAACCTGAAAGCTGCCATTGTATTGGTCCCAGGATGTTGGTGCCTCGCCACTGGAGCTGTGTGAACAAGTGTCAGGGCTGCACACCTCCTGCAGACAGCTGAAGGAAGACGAGCACTGTTGGAGACAAACTGCAGCCGTCACTGCTCCATCACTGAACTGTCGATGGTATGGATGGAAACGGTCTGAGTCTACGGGGCCTCGCTTCAGTGCTGATCCTGAACCGACGGTCCCATCAGCGCTGTGCCTCCTGTTCAGAGCTGCAGTCCTCAAGCTGAAAGTGTTGCTGTCTTGCTGGGTGAAGCAGATGTCCCTGCTCTCTTTAATCTGTGGTATGATCATCATCACAACAGATACAAATTAATCATGATCTAAATTATAGTATACACAAAAGTTGACAGTTGACATGTTGTCTCTCTCTACACTCGAATTCATAGACCAACAAGCTGCCCAGATGCCTTCTGGGAATCTCCAGAAGGCATTTAAACCTCCTCTCTCAGTGAATAAACCACAGAGAACTGTCTCAGCCTTTCATGGTCACATACATATTTCAGCACTTATTAGATAATTAGATGCTACAGTTAGCAGCTGCTTAGCTTTGCTTAGCATAACGACTGAAAAACAAGGGGAGAGGGAGAGCCTGGCCATTTGCCCAAATACATTCAATTTAATTCACAAACAACCCCACTCATTTTTAGGAGTCTGTACACACTCAGAACTGATTATCTATTTCTAGTGTTACACAGAAGAATCTGTTTTGGGTTAGGACAGAAACGCCCAAGACAGCTCAGTACCTGTGATTCTGCCATCTGCTGGCAGAAGGTCCCACAGGGCTCGCAGGTGTGTAGGTTGGCCTGAGGGGTTGACGCTTGAGACTTGCTACTGCTGCTGCTGCTGCTGGGGTAAAACGGCAGGGAGTCTGACATTCTCCACCAAAATCTGCTCCTGTGAGGAGATTTAAAAAAAAAAAAAAAAAACAGGCTAAATTTGAGATAAAAACTGGCATCTGTCTTTAGTCAGTGGCATTTTTCTGGCCCAAACTCAGGCAGATGATTCATCTTAATACAGACTGGCTCAGCAGCGGTCTGCGTAAAAACATTAAAGTTTTTGTTCCAACAGTTGGATGTTTGACACTAAAAGGGATGTTTTTACATTCATCTACTGAAAGAGGAAAGTTTATCTGTGCTCACTGAAAATCAGATTTCCACGAGAAGTCAGTCCTGGTCCAGTATGCAACTAACAGTATATAAGTGATATAGGAACTTGAAGTGCAGATACACTGAGAATGGACTTTACAGTGAAGTAGGAAACATTTTGTGTCCAGCAGGAAAACTTTAGATATGAAAAAGGTTAAAGCAAAGTTAAGCATATAGTTAAAGCATATTCATAGTTTAATGTTTAATGAAGTAGAACAAGTAGATGCCTTTTTAAGGTTAATATGCAAATTCTATACATTTGTTTGCAGAAAAAACATATCAGACACATTATTTTCATTCCAAGCAGACTGTTTGTGTTTGTCGTACATTGTCTGGACGGGATTTCTAGTGCTGCCAATTAATTCTTTCCTGTGTCTTTATGCAAATCTAAAGTTGTTGCTGGCTCCAACTCAAGAATTTGATGTCAGCAACAAAGCAAAAGCATTTTCCCACAAATGCCAAACTACATGACAAACTAAACATGGCATGATAGAGAGTGCTAACATGAGAAAGGTTGAATTCATTTTCAGTGGCAGTTTATTAAAACAAAAGTTTGATATTAGTGGATGTCTCCACCATTTCTCTCTCACTGTTTGCATGGATTAATAAAGTACATATCTTATCTTATATGGGGCAGGGGTTTGCACGGCTGAGTGTAAAGAAGAAGTGTTATCTGATCCCAGCGGAGGTGACAGACACGTGGCCCGGGTTCCAGTAAAGGTAACCTCAACCCCGACATAAACCAAGCTCATTAAAACTGCCAACAAACCATGGCTGTTAAGTCACGTAAAAGCCAAATCCTGCTGAGGCAGAGAAAGTGTGACCGGCCTCTTCTGTGTGTGTGTGTGTGTGTGTGTGTGTGTGTGTGTGTGTGTGTGTGTGTGTGTGTGTGTGTGTGTGTGATGAGAGAGAGAGAGAGAGAGAGAGAGAGAGAGAGAGAGAGAGAGAGAGAGAGAGAGAAGTAGCAATCGTAGCTCTTTCTGTTCAGATCAAAGGGAGCTTAAGTGACAGGGTGAAAGTTGAGAGACTGCCTTTTTACCACTGTGGCAACAAATCCTCTCATCTGCTTGACAGACACGCTGCCAGCAGCCAGAACGGATGGACTTACAGTAGAGAAGGAGGAGATTCTCCAGTGTGAAGACCCATGGATGGACAGGTTTACCATGTACAGATGTAGTTTCTCTCATGTGGTAACACTACATTTCAGTCAGAGAGCTAAGCATCCAGTTTTCCCCAAAATTAATTACCCAACAATCTTAGAATAAACAGTCGTTTAAAAAAACTGAAATCCATCTATTGTATAAAAAAAACTTCCCAGTTGTTCCTCTTTATATCGATCCAAAAAATGATGGTGGCTGGAAATAACATACATCCTTGTTCAATTTGTACAATGTGATTCAAAATTAAAGCAGCATTGTGAGAATCAATAGAGACAACGTGTTATTAGTTTGTAGCCTTTTATGTAATTAGTTTGCGTTCGTTGCTTTTAGGAGACACTCAATGACAATCGATAGTGGCTTTAACAACACTGCCCTTGTTCATGAGTTGGCAGGGTATCGAGACATGCCCATTTCATATTTCTTGGCTACTGTGAGATTTTCCTGACAGTCTTAGGAGTGGTTCTCTTTTTTCTCAGCCGAAATGTTTAAAGAAGCAACAGCCTTTGAAGTAGGAATCCGCCAATTGGGAAATCCTGGGCCGATTCCAATGTTTCAAATTTAGCCGATGCAGATAACTATGGATTTTTGCTGTTATATAACTCAAACTTCTGTGCCACGTAAACAACAACCTCTACAAAGATAAATGTATCTGCCTTGTTGCAGCTCAGTCTGTTTCTCTTCTCATCTGAGATGTGACGCAGAGCTGAACAGCCGCTCACTGTCCGCACTGCTGCATGGAGCACGTTGGTGTTTGTGTGCAATTTGTGCCAGTGCTTCCAATATCCAAGTTAATAACCAACAACAACATTTAGACTCTGCAAAACTGATGAGACACAACAGATGAAAAATCAGCCGCTGATATTGATGAATGCCGTCTTGTTTGCCAACAGTCAGTCAGCAACACCAATATCGGCCAATATCGGTGTTGATGAAAGACTTCAGTTTAACCCACTCTGTTTTAATGACATTGCTGAAACTATGAGTGTAAATTGGTAATCTTCCTGTTTCATAATGATCCTCACTGTTAGACGTTCTCTGGTTTCTGTTGGCAGCTATTGCAGCCTTGAGAAATGGCAACTCTCCTGCACTCTTTGACTAACATGACTATGGACTATAAAACTTTTTTTTCACTTTCATGCAACACTGTAAAACCAGATAAGTTAATTTAACTCAAAACTTTGCTGAAACTGATCACATCAAAATGGATTTTTTTAGGTTAAAAAATATTTTTGATTTAGCCGTTTTTACTAATAATTTTAAGTGACACTAATTTATTTTTGTAAGTTACAGAAACATTCCTGATTAAGTTGTTTTTACTAGGTTGTTTTGTTTTAAAATAAATAAAGACTTTAAATTACTAAAGCTACAACAAAACAATAATGTTTTTTTAACTTACATAATGTAGTTAGTTTTACTTAAAAATGTTAATGAAATCCCTTTCAACAATTTGTTTTGTTAAATGAATTTATCTGGTGAATAGTATATTGAAAGAGGAATGACTCTGATTATGTATTCTTGTTTTAACGTATGGTAATTTTCATTGATCAGCTTCACTCTTAAATTTAACACCAATGTTGGTTTAACCCATGCATTATTATTTCTGCACATTATAAAGACTGAGTGTATTATGGTTTTAGTTACGTTGACCAGAATAAGCAGCATGTATGAATCATCTTATAACCTCTTTTAGTGTTTTTAGGCAGGTGCCCATATTAAGACGCAAATAGGTTTTGTTTAATAGCCAGAAGAAAAGGGTGCAACGAGATGATGAGTGATGGAAACATGGCATTTATGTTCATTTCAGGTTTCAGTATGGGGAAAATTACATTTTCCTGTACATCAGGATTTATTCATTTAATTATTTCCATTGCACTTTGTCTCATTTTATTTTTATCAGTACATAAAAACAGGTGCATGTAAACCCACCTTATAACATTCAATCCACTTGCTGAAGCCTCATATTAAATAAAAATCTAAAACACATTACGAGGAGATCTTTTATAACCAGAATAAGCATGACGAACGATTACAGAAAAACCTGTTTCAGTGTTTTGTTTGTTTAAGATTAACTTTTGGCCTTTATTTTGATAGGAGGAGCTGAAGAGTAACAGGAAGGCCAGGAGAGAGAGAGAGAGAGAGAGAGAGAGAGAGAGAGAGAGAGAGAGAGAGAGAGACAGCGAGGTTGAGATGCTACAAAGGCCAACGGGTTGGAATTCAACTCGTGCCGCTGTGGCAACTCAGGCTTGGTACATGAGGCGGCCGCTCTACCAAGTGAGGTACTGGGGTACCCCATAGTTTTAAAACAGACTTGAAAAATGTGAGCCTATACTGTTACATACACCAGCACCTTCTGTCAGTAAGATGTGAATGAGTTCCTTGCATGGAGGGGTCAATTACTGCCAACACATCCGATTGAACTTAACATGTTAACAGTGTAGCTTAGAAAATACACAATACATGCAAATTACAATATACATGATTCTAATACACTGGGCTAAAAGTATTTTTAATTGTGTATTTAATGCTGGTGCATCTGTGACTAAATCCAAAATTTAGCCTTATGATTTTCAGTTGCTTTGCTGTACATGCAACCCTTTCACATTACAGAGTCGTTAGTTTCAGTTTTAATATAACGAATATCACCTAATAGAGCTGTAAGTATTGAAGCCATTGGTGCTGCAGCTATTTGCAGTGGTGAAATGTACCTATACATTTTTTGAACTACTTTATTTCAATATTACCATTTTTTAGAGTACATCTACTCCACTATTTCAGATGGAAATATTGTATTTTGCTACTATTATTGTGATATTTATGTGACAACTACTACTCACTTTTTTACAAAAACATACAAAACATGTGATCATCTTTTTAATGTTAATGTATATAGTATTGTATAGTACATAAAGTATGAATGTAAACTACTGTAACGCCTTAATTTCACCCCCGGAGATCAATATAGTACCTATCTATCTATCTATTAGCCCCACCTCCACCAGCTGCAGCAATAATAGAAAATATAAAAATGTAATACTGACAGGGGCCATTCTGCTGGCTAATTAGTATTTTCACCTTTGATACATAAGCTCCTTTTGCTGATTATACTCTTTCATTCATAACATTTTGAATGCGGCATCTTGAAATTGAGTATGTTTAAATTGTTGTTTTGCTATACTTTCACTTAAGGACTTTTTCCACAACTGAGTTTGAAACATACATAACTAAAAAAAAACTCAATATATCTGTGGATCTGCCAAATAATATTATTAAATAAACAAATTTAAGAAAACTTTGCTCAGTTTTGATCTTCAAAAGAGAGCGTTTCTCTCAGTAAAACCCCGCTGAATAAAGGTGATCTGCAGAAACATTTTCCCAATAAGAAAATAATGTGGTCGTTTCTGATGTAACAGAGCCAGCGGTACAAATTAGCCACAGGACTAGGAAGACAGCCAATTTATAAATGTAACCAGTGAAAGCCAACAAGTTGTAGATAAGAGAGCGTAGTGTAGAGTTTGTTTACAATATTTGATTTTATCTTTGTGGTTTGAATGAATTAACAAAAGCTCGGGGTTTGGCTGATAGGGTTTGGAGGTGAAATACTTTTCTGGTCACAGTACAGTGACATCGGCTGACCAGCTGCATGCAATTCTGAGGTATTTGTACTTTACTTGATTATTTCCATTTTGTGCTACTTTCAACTTCTAACATTTCAGAGACAAATTTTGTACTTTTTACACCACTACATTTATTTGACAGCTTTATTCTGCAAAATGATTTTGTAAAAGATTTTACATAAAAATCAGCCGTATGATCAGCTTATAAAATACAATTTGTTAATGATTAAACCAGTGGCTGTTCTACTTGTTGTTGTCCCATTGTTGCATCTCAAATGTCTATGAGTTGTTGATGGGACTTTTCCCCATGTTACGTTTCAGACTTTAACTGTATGAATCCCAAAGAGATCAAATTGTCCCAATATTTCACAAAACGTCAAAGATTAGAGAAAAGTCCAAAATATGAATATGAATTGTAAGTATGAAAGAAAAAAAAAACAGCTATGGTTCCGTAAGTCCTCCTTATTTTCAAATATTGATACCAGATATTACGTATGCTGTGAAACAGGGACAATGCACCCCATTACATTATTTTGTTGCGTTACCATAGTGCTTTATTTTGATTGAGCTATTTTGTTAAAACTGTGTGAAATTATGACATTATCACCACTTTTAAAAGTAGTGCAACAAAAGAGTAAAATTGTTCAGTTTTGTTTTTTCATTTTTACAAACTTCACATCGTGATCCCACATATTGTGGATCTTAAAGTAAATATATTTTATCCCAAACAGTAACTATTCCAACTTCTTTGAAATAGGCAATAAGAAAGCAATGCACCTTATATATATAATTAAATATATATCTAAATATAGAAAGTGTAGAGCACACATACTTTACACAAAGGTTTATGAAGTGGAGCTCACGTGTAATGTGTAAGGTTGTAAGAAGACAAGAACAGGTTTATCTGTTATCCTATTTGTCAGGCTTATATATGTGAGTATGTTGTCAGTACATTAGATGGCTGCCACTCAAAGTTCACAGAGGTTAGCCAACATTCATCACCCGCAGCGGTGTCAAAATTATCAAGACAGTACTCTGTTCTCTCTTAATTTCTATATAAAAATGACATAAAACAGAGTGTAAATCAAGTGTATAGTAAAAAAGAGCACAATTGCAGCAGTTTATATCAACACCAATCATATAATGGAAAAATGTACTCACCTCACCTGTCTAATCAATAACTGCCCTCACTCTTCTTTGTGGATTTTGTAGCTTCAGATTTTCCTGACCTGCAATTTATGTCAACACCTGAGCCCACTTCTGTGCACCTCGTACCCCCTTCACCCTGACAGTGAGCCACTTCTATTAGATTGACTGTCTAAATATGTAAGTATGGAAATGGTTGATGGGCTGGTTTCAGATTTTGGCAGCTCTGAATAACATCCTCATTCGATGTGTGTGTGTGTGTGTGTGTGTGTGTGTGTGTGTGTGTGTGTGTGTGTGTGTGTGAGAGAGAGAGAGAGAGAGAGAGAGAGAGAGAGAGAGAGAGAGAGAGAGAGAGAGAGAGAGAGAGTTTGGCACTTATCCAGGCTAGACAAGATATAGAGAAATAAAAACCTGCTGCAACAGGTTCCAAAACATCTACTGGTGCAGTCATTGGCAGCTGGCAGCGCTCTCTTCCTCCCTCGATCAGTCTCTCTTTGCCTGAATGGTTACTTGTCTGAATGGGACATAAGATACACTACTGATCACAGCCAGTGGCAGAGAGTGGGCACCGTGCCCTGGTTTCTGAGCTCGCCCATGGCAAAGGCCATAAATCTGTAAATGTGATCTACTTCAACTTAACTGCTGCGAATTCAAAAAAACGTGTGTACAAGTAAACACAGGCAGGTTAATTTGTGCATTTAAGGCGTGCAACATGTAAAGTTACAAACTGAACCAAAAGCACTGGCTACTCTACCACAAACACAAGCAGTCAATCTGGAGATTTCAGTTTCTGACTAATGTCATAACTAATGGACATACCTACCAATCCGGCTGTTGTGGTCTGCAGGACGTGAAGTCAAAACTAATATCAGAACCATCACGCAGCTCCTACGCATGTTTTAAGATGCTCCGCGTGGCATCTTTTTTGAGTATTTTAGTTTTTTTCTCTAGAGATTTAAACTGAAGTTCCTCTCTGGGCTGTTTAAAGTGACCGTATTTGGCTCAAAGAGTAAGAGAGGTAGAGAAATGAAGGAGAAAGTGAGAGAGGGAGAGGGAGTAGAGGTATGTCAATACAGGTAGATTCCTATCCTATCCTCCCAATGAACCAGGAAAACAGTAATAACCTTAGCTCGTAGCTATACCTTGAACAAACCCTGTCCTCAAAGAGAGGGTGAGGCAGAATGAGAGAGAAACAGAGGATTAATTACAGATTGAATAAACTCTTGTGTTACACTGCAAGGCCTCTGCAGAGCAAGGCTACTGCTGAAGGCTCTTTCTGCCAAACAGTGAGTTCTTAGGGAGGGTGTATTGTGGGAACAGATTCCAGAGGGCACGTCAGTGAAAGTCTCATTGTCTTCTGGGAAAAACATGCCCCGGTGCTCAGGTGTTCTCAGTTGCAATATCATGTTTTGCAGAGCTGATGATGTTATCGAGCCTTTTATAGTTTAAAAGCAACAAAGCTCTAATCATTTTAGTGAAGCTTATAGACAATTTTAGATATCAGCCTCTTGATTTATTTCACTGATCACACAATGATTATAATACATAATGACAGAAAGACAGGTACTTGCCATAAGAACAAATAATCATGCCGACAATATGCAAATAATTGTGCACACATTCTTTACTCTGCTATAAAACATGTTGTCATCCAAGTGGAATTTAGACAGGCTGAGTCAATATCTTTGAGTCATCCGTCTGGATCTTTGTCAAAAGATGAATGAATAGATTTAGACTGACCAACTTGGTTTAAAGTAATCTGCCAAAAAAAGTCGTACAAGGCATTCACTCTCTGTGAAACCTTCAAGCTGCTCATGCTGTCTCTCTGACCCCTGTGTCACAGCAGGTACTTTGACTTTGTCACATGACTGATCATGGCCAGAAGTGTAAATGTGCTCAACATTTACATGCTACGAACATGCTCGAAACAAAACGTCATTGTCACCTGTTGCAGCGACAGACAGTTAGGGTCACGGTTTTCATCTAGCGCCACCATCTACTAACATGCTAAACTAAGATGTCGGACATGGTAAACATTATATGTGCTAAACATCAGCATGTTAGCATACTGATGTTAGCATTTAGCACAAAGCACCACTGTGCGTCCTACAGCCTTACAGAGCTGCTAGCATGGCTTTATAAATGTAACCACCATTATCATGATGACTGACGATATGTGAAACTGCGGTGCTGTTGTGTTTAGGTGCTGTGCCCATAATGATGAGGATGAAACGAGCCACACCAGTAACAAATTACACCAGTATACCAGTGTGGTCATTAAAGTTGAAAGTTGAAAATGGGGGATCGATAGATGAAATAGTAACCAAACCTGACTGCCCAAAGCATAAAACCCTTTATCTTGGTAGGTTTTTTTTTGATGAAGTTCCTGGTTAACTATTTTGATTTATGACCCTGTAAAATGAAGATTTGTTCATTTTTCCTTCTCAGATTGTTTAGTTTGGATGCTTTCTTATTGTCTGATGTCGCACCAGTCCTCAGATCCCAAATCCTAAAACAAACTACTCCTGACATGAAAGAAGAATTGTCACTGACTTATTTTGTTGTTGTTTTTTTTGTGATTGAAACTCAGGTGAAATTTATTGTTGACCTATTGCATTAATCATCAATCGTCACCAACATTTTTTAAAACTGAGCCAGGCAGGAAACAGGTGCAAAAATGTAACAAAGGTCTTCAGGCAGAATGGAACCACTGTCAATGAGATTACTTTTATATTATTAACCCTGAAGCTAAACCACAACAAAATAGTTGAAAGTAACACACCCCTTCTCTGGAACTGTACTGGGTTGATGAAACTTTTCTTGTGTGCCACACCTGTGCAGAAGCAGGTACTTTAACAATACTAAAACTATGCAAATGTTGTGGTTTGTGTATGAAGCAACATGTTCTACATTTCAATTTTATTAAAAATTGTATCAAGTTTTAATACTTTTTTTTTTTTTAAATTAATGATTTTCTCTAATAAAAAATATATTTTGATCTCAGGCAAGGTCAAACGATGAGTGTAGGATAAGGTAAATTAATATCTAATTCTATATTTTATGTATTCAGAAACAGTGATTTATGGGTGTCTTTTGAAAATGCAGTGGAAAACATTCAGTTAGTCCCTGAGGCAGTGAGATTTATCACTTTCTTCTCTTTTTGGCTCAGGGTGAGGTTATATAAATATAGAAATTGCCTTGCCTGTCCCAGGGATGCTTCATAGTAAAATGTGCAGCTGTTCCCCCAAATGACTGCTCTCAGTATCTTAAATTCACAATTACCATTTCATCACTGAATCCTTACTAAAAAACAAGGTTAAAAAATGCTTCCCAAGGAGATCATAGTTGCAAATGATTATAGATCATATTGATTCACATCCCACTAAGAACCATTCTTGCACATTGTCAGTAACATAATACCAAATACTAACAATCCACCTGAGCTTTGCATCATACATGCTGCTTGTTGTTTATCTATTTAGAAGTCACAAAATGCAAACTTAGATTACATTATGATTGGAAAAAAGATGACATGAAGAGGTTGTCTTACCTCTGATAACTGACATCCATCACACCTCCACTAACTTCCATTACTGTGAGAACCAATTTAACGAGAGAGAGAGAGAGAGAGAGAGAGAGAGAGAGAGAGAGTGAGAGAGAGAGTGATGGCTCTTCCTTCGAATTATGCCGTTTTTGAGTCTTTACCAGAAGAATGGTCGCTAGATTAAACAAAAATTTTTTTGATTTCATAACTGCTTACTCGTTTGACCTTGTACTGTAGTTTCACCATTTTAAAATCCCCTTTTCACATACAGTGGATATACGGACCCCTGCCAAGGAGTTCAATTAAATGTTTTCAATCAGTTTCCTATAATTGATTCCCCTTACCTTCAATTCGTCTTTCTCCCACATTGACCCCTTGAAGGGATTTGCCTTCTATCCTCTTGGCTCTCTTTAAATCAATTGTGGACCCAGTGGTCTTAATCCTATGGATGGCAATGAGATTTGAGGCCATCATTAAATTTAACAGTCAAAAACTACAGTAAACCCATGACCGGGCAGCATCTCTACTCCAAATATTTATTTTCCTGGAAGCTGAATATATACAACACAAATGAGTAACTACAGTTGAGAAAGTAGGGATGATTATTGTGGTCTATTGCGTAAAGACTCTCCAGTCTACATGTATGAAGCCAGGAAACAGTATCTGCCCTCAGAGAACCATGGTTACACATGTAACCTTCAATAATGTTTAATAACAAGAACACGTCATACCTGCCCAAAATAGTAATAACCAGAGGTATGGACTCGAGTCACAAATTTGATAACTTTCAACTCGACAAAATCAAAAAAGACTCAACTTGGATTTTAATATCAGTAACACTTAAAGACTTCAACAAAACCCAAACATTTAAAAGTATGTCATTTAAAAAGTGTTCCACAAATCAATTCATTTCCTGAATCAAGTAACACTATTCATTCCCAGCAAGTCGATATTTAATTCCCCAGATCTCCTTTGTTTGAACCAATCAGGTTGCAGCAGAGAACCGTGAAGAACTAATGTTACGTTACTGAGCGCCAGTTAGAAAAAGTTATACCATAGACAATTTTGTTTTGTTCATTCTGTTGTTAAAATGCCATTACATTTGTCGAGGAGCACATTATGACTTGTTTAGCACTTAAAACTGAAAATTTTGTACTTGAGTGGAAAGATTTGAGACTTACTTGTGACTTGATGCAAAATGATGACTTGGTCCCACCTCTGGTAATTAATTAGTATATGATGATACATCAAACAAAATAATTTTATTGTTTTTCAATGTCTGTTAAACTTTAGTTTATTACATTAGGATACCATAACACTGTTTATTACAGACGCAATAAGAACTCACAGTATCAAAGTTTTGCCACAATATACTTCTCACTGAAACCCAGACTGGAAAATGCTCAAATAAACACTTGTTTTAAAATAACATTTCTTGTAGGTGAAAACTGTTAATCTTAGAAATAAATGATACCGTTGACTCTAAAAGCATTAAGCTCTGATGTGCTTGACTGTCCAGAAGATGATTTATCTTAATGAACTGAACTCAGATCACTCAAACCCCTCAACAAAAGGTGCCCAAGTGTTTCCAGTCAGCATGTTCAATGATATCGAAAGCTGTGTCAGCACTCAAGGACGGGCCTCGCTGCACATCAGGCTGTACTTGCTGGAGTATTCGGGGGAGATTTAAAATACTTAATCGCCTGCCAGCCCAGTCCTCCACTGGTGGAATCCTGATAAATAAGCAGATATTGTTAATCTCCCCCAGATTCTCCCCTGTTTCCATTTTCTTTCAGTTCATATTCAAAGGGTTTTGGTAACATTAACCCAACTGGGAAAGGTATTCAGCTGGAACATGGCCACGCCCCACGTGTTAATGGCAATGTTGATGGTTATGACTTCAAGCAAGTTCAGAATGAATCCAGCTTTGGCCTGGAACAAATAGAAAAATTATACAACATAAATCTAATTATATTTGGTCCAAAGCAATACAGTGTTTTGTCAACGCCTTATCAGGGTTGTCCTTATAACAATCTAATAATATTGACAACATTGACATTATATTTGCTGCTCAGTCTGCCCAAGCTCAGTAATATTCTGTTATTATTATTCAGGACATTGCTTGTGTGCAAACAGATAATAATGATCAGATATAAGGATTAATATAAGCTGCTTATCTAAAAACTGGATGTGAGCCTTTACCCAAAACACTGTGGGCATACTCACTTATAGGGTCTTTACTGAAAGGTCTTACCATGTCCATGACTTTAAGGTTGCCATAGGAGAAGGCGATGGCGTTGGGTGGAATGGCTACAGGCTGCATGAAAACCAGCGAGGAAGAGATGGTGCAGGGGAGCATGACGTACAGCGGCTGTATCTTGATGGCGGTGGCCTGGATAAAAGAAATTAAAAGGACCGTCACACACATGATAAACAGGCAAGTCTAAATCTGTCAGGGCCCCATAGTGGGGAATCTTTTTGAAAAGGATTAACCAGTGGCTACAGAGAGCAACTCTGTGTGACCTCAAGCAATAACAAGTTCAGAATTCTTAAACATTTTATTTTTACATGAATATATGAATGCTTTCATAGATAACATACCATCAGACTGAAAGACCATGAAATAGATTTTAAATAAGTCACATTTGACATTCCCGGTAGCCAGGATTTTGATTTAAAATTTTAAAGTACAGACCTATTTCTGAAGAATCCCTTAACATTGTAGTTTGAAGTACTGGGTATTCTTTCCCAAGGTGAGAAATTTACTGTGGCACCTCAAAGTCTGCATCCTACCAAGTGTGTTAATCATTGTGTCACTCTTCTGTGTACAAAACACACTGTTTTTCCACTTTATGAGGAGTCGCTAAGACCTTGTCGCTTATAGGCAGAAGCAGGACACGCTTCACTTAAGTTACCCAGGGAGAAGAAAATACTCATTGACACAAAAGTAATTTGTCTAAGGAACAGCACAGCATGAACTGTTGTACAGGCTTGACCCTGGTGCTATCAGGCTACAACTCAGGAAGGAGTTGGGATAACGTTTATTATAAAACACTGAATCAGCGAGACGAGGTTCTCAAGGTAGTAAAAGTTGTTGACTATATCTTTGTGTGACAGATTTGCTAAAACACGCTGCAAACATAAAATGCGGTGCAACAGTGCAGCTTCCCATTTGTGCTGCTGCGCACCGATAGAAAATATATAAATGAAGTTCCTGCCTTCTTGCTTCAACCTATATAGTCTTATTCCTCTTAAAATGTGCTAATTTGTGTATTTTTCACACAATTTATTAACGCCGCTGGATCTCAAAATGTGATCAAAGGCGATTTATAATAAAACATGTGTACCGATGCACCTGCTGCACACATAAAATTATCAGAAACATGCTAGCTGACCTACCTTCCTTGGACTTCCTCGCAGCATCTCGGCAAATTGGACAGGATGCAGAAGAAGAGGGTTGACATTAATATGGCCACGGTGCCATCTGTGACATACCTGATGAGAAAACATATTTAATTTCTACTGCATTAGCTGTATTAACCTCCTGAATAAATCCCCCAGACTAGACAGATGATTACAAGGTAGGGTCATCAATTCAAACATCTGATAATACTGGACCATTCAAAAGGCTACAGACTGGCTACATTGATACAGCCTTAATAGCAAACCCTTCCTTATATTCTCCTCCTAGACAGGGCCATTCCCTGATGAACTGTTCTTCACTTCTTTACTTTTTCACTGAGGAATCATGAAAGCTGCGTAACAGTTTATGTACTCATGGTTTGTCTTTGTTCTTTTTCCCTAAAATGTAATTCTTCATTAGTTGCTTCCCCCTTTATTATAAATGACATAATTATATAAAATTTTTGGCTTCTGAAGGGGTGGGGGGGGTGAGAACCACTGCTCTAACAGAAGGGGCTGCTACTCCTGGTGTTGCCACATGCTCAGGACCAGGAGATGAATCTGCATCTTGCCTTGTGTGTTTATTCGTATATATGTGCAAGTCGTACTCATCAATCTGGCCTTTCAGGGTGCCATTGGGTGTGGTTCCAGTGGGAGTTGCCAGTTGGCAGCGTAACAAACACTCAGGCTCATGCCTTTCGTCAGCTTCATATACTTCTCCTCCCTCTTCAGTCGGCGCTGCTCGGCCTCTGGACTCCTGTCACAAACCTCTGGAGGGACAGTACTCACACCTGAAGCATTAAAAAAAACATCTGAACTTTTGCTTCTCTACTTCTATGTTCTGTTAAATTTGACCTTTTGTTATTCTTTTCTAAATCAGGCTGTTATGTCAAAGACAAAGTTGAAATAAACCTACTTGAAGTAACATAATTTTCCTTCATATCTTTGCTCTCATCATCTTTGTCTGTAAAACACCACGTAAACAACAAAACAGTAAAACAACAACACTAAAAAGGTTAACAAAAAGACTGTCACTGACACACACACTCACACACACACACACACCCATACACACACACACACCCATGTTGATGCTGCTGTCCTTTGGTTTGAGCTCCCTGTCACTGCTTTCTTTGTTGTCACCCATCTCAAATGCCTGGTTTTCCTGACCCTCCTGTGGGGTGTGTGGTGCTAAGGCTATAATCCCTCTCTTCAGCTCGGCCTCTGTCTCACACAGCTGCTGCAGCACAGCATTGGCGATGGGCAGCATCATGGCTGTGGAGGCCGTGTTACTGATCCACATACACAGGAAGGCCGTGGTGCTCATGAAACCGAGCATCAGGCTGGAGAGGGCCTGAGACAAATGATTAGATAGAAGGATGAAGAAAGCATGTAAAGGGATTTGAGTGACAAATAAATCGGCCAAAAGTATGTGAACACTCAAACATTACACCCACGTGTGTGTCTCATTATGAGGGCTTTCAATAAAAACAGCCCCAGATCCAAAGCACACAAAGGTTATTGGGCGGGGGGGTATCCACATACTTAATAATGTAGCTGCTATATGTATGTATATACATACATGTATATACATGTATGTGTATGCATGTAAAGAATAAAGTTTCTTACAGAGATGGCTTGACCCCCACAATAAGCAGAACTTGAAGGGCGATCGTCCTGTGCAGGTTCCAGTGCTCGACAGCGATGGCCACCAGCAGCCCACCAACAAAGGGCATGTTGGAATCTTTCAGGTACTGGATACAAACCTGGATAAGGAAAGAAAAACTGACTCCTTGATCCTTGGAAAGAGGCAAAAGACCAAGAAATGGCTGATTACAATGTGTGTATGCAGTACGTGGTTAGAAATACGTTGCCTGATTCCATGATGCCCATCATGGGGTAGAGAATGACGGAGAGCATGGCGGTCACAGCCAGAGGGATACACTCAGGATTACACAGGATTATTACAAAGCCACATTTTGCCTCCTGTAATGACAGAAAAGGACTGTGTTGCTTAACATTACACAGTAAACATTACACATAAATGGTTCTATACCTGGGCTAACCTACAGTGCTATAGTTCAGTATAGTGCCATTATAACTGTGGAAATCATCTTGAATAAATGTGTTTTTAACTAGAACAGGTTTTTCATTTTACAGTTGAAACATTTGCAGGCAGTCTATTTATAATTTATAATTACATAAGACATTTCTTACAAGCACAAAGTTAACTCTACTGCTTTGGTCTGCTTAGCTGGCTGGGATCTCTGGGACTTTTTGGCATAACTACTGTCTAATTATAACTAATGTCCTGTATAATGGCTTGTAATTAAGGGTGAACACCAATATCTCAGATAGATTGTGGTCTTTGATTTAATGGAAGTGACTGAACTCCTGAACATGAGCCCACTTTTCAATGTATTATAGCCAAAGATTACACAGTACAAAGAGTCACCGACGGAGGCCTTTTCTGGACATGCTGCAGCTAATAAGACAATGTAAAGCAATGAGTGTCCCTCCAGACTGATGTCTTTGATCCTCTATTATTATTAGAGGTTACCCCTTTCATTTTGTTGCAATGGTTTCCCAAAATGTGTCTGCAGATCTGGATGCAGTACAGTTAAAACTGTAGTCTGTCTTTCTCAAACATACCTTGTGGATTGAAGAAATTAATTTGGAAAAACATGATAGTGCAGAATTAGATTTGCATTTGACTCAAAACACCAAGTATAATTATAAGTGAAATAGTAATAATACAACCTCCCCAGTGAAGTCAAGTCAGTAAATATGGAGATTCCTAATGAGCTTCTACACTTCTCTCTCCCCACACTTTCAGTCACTTTCATTACAACACTCATGGACAGCAGAATCAGCCCTTATTTGCCTCATTAACTTCTCAACATATCTCCACAAAAACAAATCTTCATGCCCTAATCAAATAACACCTTTCTCCAATGTCATGCTCTAACATCAAGACAATCTCTCCAACCCCTTTCCTTATGTATCATGCATTTACAAGTTTTATCACATCTACTGTCAGCGCATGATGGCCTTTGCACAGCTTATTCCTATAATTACACTTTAGTAGTAGTAGTAGCATAATGTATGGCTTATATAATTGTTCTTAATGCAATACACATTAATATGACCAAGTTATTGATGACAAGGCTGATATTCCGTTGTGTTAATATAACTTTTGTAGTGTAAAATTATATCTGATTATATATATATAGTATATAGATAGATAGATAGATAGATAGATAGATAGATAGATAGATAGATAGATAGATAGATAGATAGATAGATAGATAGATAGAACGAAGAAGCCACAAACAATGGCCCTGCCCTTACTCAAGGAGAAAATAAACAATTACAACAACAAAATAAATAAATTATAACTGAGATAACATAATTTATTTTTAAATATTTGTACATTAATAAAATGTGCTTAAAGTACATTAATATATGTATTGTATACTTTTGGACTCATATGCAATAAGCCATGCAGATATTTCCTATGACAGAAAAACAAAAAAAAATTAAATTTATTTTCTTCTTTCTATAACTTGCTTTATTTTCATTCATTTATTTACATGTTAATTTGAGTTGTGTAAATTAAAATGTATTTAATTACCAAAATAAAATAAACTACACAAAAAAAACCTTCTTACCGGGGTTGGTATGATCAGTGGCAGAGGCAGGATTAAAAGAGGTGTTAAGACTATCACAATGTAATTCCTGTACCTCCACAGCCATGTAAGAAATCCAGCCATGATCCACCAGGTGTGATGGACATCCAATGTATTGAAGAGTCGGAGGAAAAAAAGAATTAGTCACACGACCGTAATATTTATGAGACAGTAACAGACAAACTCACAGTAGGCTATATGAATGTATATATATACATTGTATATAAAAAAAGATTTAAAATTAACTTTAGAGTGAGGGGCCTTCATGCACAGGGTGTGTTTTGATGTGTTTAGAAGGGTTAGATAAGGTAGGCAACCAGGAGCAATAAGGTGTTAAAGATAAAAATTATGATTATTGAAAGGCCTATCACTGACACTAGTTCACACCTATATGGGCACTTGATGCAGCAGTGGTAAAAATAAGGTGCAATCGCAGGTTGTCAAAGTGAGCAACACACATTGGACAAATTCATGAATTAACATGGCATCTATAGATGTTTAATCCCAAAATACACCAAATAAAGCTCCTGAACACGCCTGATAGGAACCACAAAGTGATACATTTATTTTCCATGTCCTGTACAAAGAGTAGGAAGGTGTAATGTGTACAAAAAAACAAATCCATTAGGCCTTGCAAATAAGTCATGTGGGCGTAACTTATGAGAAACACTGTGATTCCTTTGAAAAACCTCCCAGAGACGAGACAAACCAGATCATCATCCTGTAGCGTGTGTGTGTGTGTGTGTGTGTGAAAAAATGAAAAGGTTTTGGAGGAGAGCTGATGATTGACATTTTATTTCCTAAGCTAACCTGTTTGTTGTCCTATTAGCTTGTAGCAAATCACTTAGAAAAACAAAAACATGATATAAAACGATTGTCAAGCTGCTAAGTGTAGGGTGTGTTTATGACTGTAAGTCGCATCAAATTCTGTATTCAAATGGTTGCAATCTGCAACTTGACTGCAGGATGCCACTGAATCCTACACAATGGTCATTTAAACAGATACAACAGTGCAACATAGTGTTCTGCAACCCCTTTCAAATAGCAGAAAAACTATTTAAAAAAAACAACAACAAAAAAGATGTGGGGGAAAAAAACATGGTGTTTGGTGTATTATGGTGTTTAAAAGTGTTGGGTAACTAGAACATAATAAGCACTGTAGTAGGGTGTGTTTATGACTGTAGGTCAAATTCTAGAGAACATTACCGATTACCAAAAGCCATGTGAGGCAATGATGGATTATGATTCTGGGCGATCTAAATAAAGAAATGACATGACTGACTTGATAATACTGGCAGGACAATTTCAAAACAAATAACGTTGCTTGGTAACAAAATTGACTTTTGCTGTCCTCAGAGAAGCAACCTGTGTTGTTAGTTGTTACCTTGTTTCTGTTTGTCCTCTGCTACTCTTGTACTTCAATGCACAATATGCATATTTATCATGTTATTTTAGTTCAACATATGCCGTATTATTCTACACTGTAACAAATTGCTGTAAATATACTGGATATTTTGCACAGTAGTGTACCGTTTCCAATTAATACAGTTGAATACTGTAAATTCTGATCTCTTTGAGGAACAAAATATTAACGGCAAGCTCCTGTAAAATCTTACAGTAAAAAGCAGTATTTATTTATTTTTTACAGCAAGCTACCTATAATCTTACAGTATAATATAGTATTTTTTTCTTTTTCAGTTAACTTTTAAATCAGACTGTTTAATAGTTCATCTGAGCAAAATAAAAACTTAAATGAAATTAAAACTAGGCCCACACATCAGTGTTTTTATTTGAGATTGAGGACACAATAACAAGAAGATGAAGAATTAGTTTTTATCCGGACTCTTAAACTGACAGGACCAAACTGGATGGAGCACTTGAGGCATCACCTGCTGCTTTCCTCACCATTCTCTCGTCAACGGCGCAGCGCACCCTCATCCATCCTGTCCCTGTGGCTTTCTTAAGAAGGTAAATATAATCTTGCAAAAGTCAGCATAATGCTAATGTATGGTTGCCCTGAGGTGCAAATCACAACGGCAAATCAGAAAACACAACACAAAAAGAGAAAACACAACGGCAAATCAGAAAACACATAGATATGGACTATTGGAACCCCTGCGACAAATCTTAGGTATCCCAACACTAAAAAGGATGTCACAACACAAAAAGAGAATATTTTCCTTATTTAGTGGTTTGAATTTTCAGATTTGGCAACTTGAACGCATAGGTCTGGCGGTGTTGTGTTTCCGGTTCAAAGGACGGACCAGTTCTTTTGTCCAATCAGTGACGACTCATGTCGCCCGAGGGTACCTACCTTTTCCGGTTTGGTTAATGTTGTTGTGTTTTCTGATTTGCCGTTGTGTTTTCTCTTTTTGTGTTGTGTTTTCTGATTTGCCGTTGTGTTTTCTCTTTTTGTGTTGTGTTTTCTCTTTTTGTGTCGTGTTTTCTCTTTTAGTGTCGTGTTTTCTCTTTTTGTGTTGTGTTTTCTCTTTTTGTGTTGTGTTTTCTGATTTGCCGTTGTGTTTTCTCTTTTTGTGTTGTGTTTTCTGATTTGCCGTTGTGTTTTCTCTTTTTGTGTTGTGTTTTCTCTTTTTGTGTTGTGTTTTTTCTTTTTGTGTTGTGTTTTTTCTTTTTGTGTTGTGTTTTCTCTTTTTGTGTTGTGTTTTCTGATTTGCCGTTGTGTTTTCTCTTTTTGTGTTGTGTTTTCTGATTTGCCGTTGTGTTTTCTCTTTTTGTGTTGTGTTTTCTCTTTTTGTGTCGTGTTTTCTGATTTGCCGTTGTGTTTTCTCTTTTTGTGTTGTGTTTTCTCTTTTTGTGTTGTGTTTTCTGATTTGCCGTTGTGTTTTCTCTTTTTGTGTTGTGTTTTCTGATTTGCCGTTGTGTTTTCTCTTTTTGTGTTGTGTTTTTTCTTTTTGTGTTGTGTTTTCTCTTTTTGTGTTGTGTTTTCTGATTTGCCGTTGTGTTTTCTCTTTTTGTGTTGTGTTTTCTGATTTGCTGTTGTGATTTGCACCTCAGGGCCACCGTACTAATGTCATTGGATTAACATTTTATTGACTGTTTTTTGCCGAAAAGATTGAGTCAAAAGTACGTGCCGCACGCTAGCATACGTTACTCTCATTTAAAGTTTAGCTTTCTGTTGAAGCAAATTACTTAAATTAGCATAGGTTGGCTTGGGCATTTGTTGTCAGATCGACCATTTATTGTTTTACTTTTTCAAATAACACAGTTTATGGGAGTTTATAGGGAGAAGCTTGTTATGCAGGTTGATGCAAAAAGCTAAAAAGGAGCTTCAAATATGCACTAATGTAATATACAGTAGCTAAAAGTTAGTTGACTAGTTTTTGATGTAATGATTTTTCTTTTCTTGAGAAAGTACTTTAAAGATTATTTTGCTGTGAAGGCCTGTAGTGAAAACATGATAACTTGAAACATATGTGGTAAAACCTGCAGGAGTACATTGCACATGTCAGGCACATGCAAACTCATAGGTGTTAATTTTTTATTCAATTACTGTTATAGGGTTCCATATTAAATGCAAATGGTCTTTACTTACCATACCTTATATCTTATATACTTTCTCTATTATTACATTTTAGGTGCCTCATTGGGATTAATCCTGAAAGGGGAAGAAAAACCAGCCAGGGGAAGGTGGTGTCAAAGAAGACGGGGAAGCTGGTCCACAAAAAGGCAACAGCAGTGAATCCCCATGTGGCCACTCTACTAAAAAATGTGATGGACTTTGAGTGGGGCTTTATTTAGCCAGTATAGTTCAGTCCATCTGTCTCAGATGTCCAGGTTCATTTTTGGACCCACCATTGTTGAGAGCCAGTTTGATATGTTTAATTGTTATTGTTAATGGAATGTGTGTAATTTAGTTAGCTTTTACTTAGTTTTCTTAGCTGCTATGCATTTGATGCAGTGACTTAAACCAAACTGTCTTTGGGTGAAGGGAGGAAGGAGGAAGGAAAAAAACTAGCAGTAAGGTTAAATGAAGTTGAATTGGCTGATAATTTGTACTCTATGCTTTGCAACCAGTCAAACCAGACCTGGTCAATTTTGACCTGGGGAGGAAAATACAAAGTTTAATGAATGTAATGTTAGCCATCACTTGTCATAGTTCCGGAAAAAATTCTGACAACCAAGTAGTAATGGTGTTTTTATGGATTTTGTAGATACTGAAAATGTTCAGCTTTAATAAATGCCTAATGTTGTCGGCCATCTCTTGTCTGAACCATTTCGAATATTTCATTTATTATTATTATTATTTTTTTTTTTTTTTTTTTTTATTTCAGGGTTCATTTTAAATGTAAAACTTTTAAATCATTAGTTTATATGACTGTGAAGATCACATTGTACAGTTTTACAGTAATAATTTGTTAATGGAGAATACTGTAGGAACTGTAAAATAACAGTATAATACTGTAATGTTTATTTTCCATACAGCACAGTACTGTAATATTTTTACAGTACTAAACTGTTGTTGTAGATCACAGTAGGTACACTGTAGAATAACAGTTTCAAGCTGGCAACTGTAGCTGCCAGTAGTTTACTGTAATTTAACAGGAAATTTTGTTACAGTGTATTTTTAGGATGTGAATACAGATGTAAAGCATTCCCCGATTTGTGTGCACACAAGCACCTCCATGTATTAAATCTTTTACAAATAAACTGTTACTTTATTACCACAGTTAAATCTTGGGCCCTATCTTGCCGATCTGAAACGCAAGTATCAAACGCAAAACCAAGTAGCTTTGTGGGCGGATCTTGGGCGCTGTTGCTATTATGCCGGCAGGATAAATGACTCATCTAAAATGGGTTGGTCTGAAGTAGCTACATTAGTCATAGGTGTGGTTTGGGCGTAACAAACCAATCAGAGCGTCATCTCACATTCCCTTTAAAAGCAGGCGCACTTGTTCCATGGCGGATTGCTATTATAACGGCGGATTGGCCAGGCGCACACTAGGAGCGGTTCACAGCCGAGGAGACCGACGTTCTGGTCAGGGCCGTAAAATACCGAGAAGTGACATTATTGACATGAAATAAATGTAACACAGCCATACAATAAATCCAAACAATGTAACGCAGCTTCGCAGGAAGAAGACCCTGGCCTCGGGAGCAGTGCGCACGGGCCGAGCAGTGCGCAAGGGCCAGCTGAGGAGGGAGCAGCGCAAACACCAAGGTGCAGAGGATCCAGACCCGCTACACACTGGAGGACCACCCGTTCCTGCAGCAAACCGGGTTTGACATGCTGGAGCGGGAGCTGTCCGGGATGCGGCAAAGTATTAATGCCCGTCTTGACCTGGTGGTGATGTTGCTGCGGCCTCTCAGGCGGATCCCCTTAAGTCTGCGCCCTTAAAATAGCATTTGAATAAGCGCCACTGACTTTAGACTAGGTCTTTCCTGGTCTGTGGCAGATTGTTTTCTGAAACACAAAACACCAGGAACGCCCGGACACGCCTCCTCTTTTCGCTGAACCCCCCCGGAGCGCAAGTTCATTCCCTAATTTAAGGATGTGCGTCGGTGGAGGGAAAATTTCAATGTGCGTTGAGTGCAAAATAGGAATTATACAAGCGCCAGTGTACAAAGTCAATTGCGCTGAGTGCAAGATAGAGCCCCTAATGTCTATCTACGGAAGCGCATTGCATTCACTGCAAAATTGACACCTTTTCTCATAATTACGAGATCTCGCAATGAAAATATCATGAAAAGTGCGTTTAGGCTAATAACTCCCACATCGTTTGTCACACATTCAAAAAACTTATATCCACGCGTTCAGTGAATGGAGCTGAATCTCCCCATATAGGCCCCGCCCACTTCCGCCTTAATTTTTTTTCGTTAGAGCGCGAAATGTCCTTAAACTACTTACCACCCTGGCAAAAAGAGTAATTTTAATATTTTTGAAATTTTAAAAAATAAGAACGCTATAAAATTCTAACTTCCTGTAGATTTTTCGTCAAAAAAGGAAAGTGGACCATTTCTCCACATTGGTATGTCCGATTGACATCAAACTTGGGTCGTTAGTTCCCCATGTCTTCCTTAGGCATCATGCACAATTTCAGGCCATTTCCACAAGGTGGCACTCTTTAAAATGAAGAAGTTTATATCTCCACAATGGCACGTGTGATTGAAATGAAACTTGGTACGACGCTTGCCCAAGGCTCCCTGAGGCTCGCTAAAAAATGTGTCAACAATCCGCCACTAGGTGGCGCTCTGGTGGCCTGGTAAATCACTGTGCAGAGACCGTAATAGTTATGAATATGAAATTCACAGGGCACGTGAAGAGTGCTGCCTGAAGCTCACATACCAAAAATCGTGTTTGTCGTGTTTGTAGCGCCCCCTACAGGATAAAAAACAGCAGCCCTGGCACCACGTTTCACCGATATGTACGAAACTCGGTAGGCACATGAAACATGCCGGGACGCACAAAAAAGCCTCTTGGATGCCACAGGAAGTCGGACATTTTGATTTTCACTTTCGGCGAACTTTTCGTGTTGTATTTGAACGAACTCCTCCTAGGGAATTTATCGGATATGCTTCAAAATTAGTCAGTACAGTCAAAAAATGGTGCTGATTAAAAGTTGTGCTATTTGTGACTGTACGTTAAAGGGCGTGTCCGTGACGTTCCCTCAAAGTTGGCCAGGTTGAATCAAATGTCAAACTGTGATGCTATTTCCGACATTTAAGGGCTTCTCTTTTAACTAACTCCTCCTACAGATTTTATCAGATTGACTTCAAATTCAATCACTTCAATCTACACACATTGGTTATCAAAAGTTGTGCTATTTGTGACTGTATTTTTAACTGTGTGCCCGTGACGACGTGTCGAATTCCACCGATTGGCCATCAAACAGATAGTACTCATATCTTCAGTGTACAGTCCCACCCTGAACACGTCCTCATAACTTCAGCGTACATGATCCAATCTCAATGAAACTTCACGTGTTTGATAGCAGTCCCACCCTGAACACGTCTACATGACAATATTCAGACATAGTGATAGCGCCACATACTGGTAACAGGAAGTATCACGTTTTATACTTTCATGTTCTTCTCCTAGCAGGATGATCAGATCCAGCTGAAATTTACTTATAAAATGCAAAACACATTGTTGATGATATGTGTTGACTGTGGTGAGGGGGCGTGTCTGTGGGGTGGCGGGAAATTTTGATGGACCACCACAAAACACGAATTCGCTATAACTTGAGTGTTCATTGTCCAATCGGCTCCACACTTCAAATGCTTGATAACAGTCCCCCCCTGAACACGTGTACATGACAATATTCAGACATAGTGATAGCGCCACCTACTGGCAACAGGAAGTAAGCGCTGCGTGATTAACGGCAGATTTTCACGCGACGCGGCTGCAGCACGCCCCGAGTTGTGTGGATTGCGAGGTCCCGCCCAACGCTGCTTGCAGCTTTAATCTCTTATTGTATTTTATGTTATGGTGAAGCCATTTGCTATTTATAAACTATTTTAGTATTGTGGAATAAAATAACTTGGACTAGTTTTATGGTTTCTCCTTTCTTTTTCAGGTCTTTTGCCAGAATAATTTATTTTTAATAAATATTATTGGAGAGCTGAATGCACGTCTCCCGCTTTTCGTGAACCCTTTAAAAATTGTGTCAACGCTCAGATGGTTGGTGTCTAGGGCTGGTATAGTTATATTCTGTGTATCGGTCCCCGTTGTAACCTGGGTGGGGGTCACATAAAGAAAAAGGAAACGTCTGTAAATCCTCTCTCAGTTACGGAAGCGCAATGTCAGCCATGTCAGCTTTTCTGTTGCCACGGTTACGACGTCACATGGCAAAACGTAACAAAGCCACAGTCGTATGTGTGTTCTAACGTCACATACTCCGGTACAGTAGGTGGCGGTATTCGCCTTCAAAGTAAATGATTGACATCCACCAAAAAATAAAAAGAAGAGGTTGCACAGCATTGTCTTTTTAAATATGCTATGTCAAAAAAAATGTAGTTCACCTCTTCGTCCAGACGGGGTTGCTGAGTCCCCCTTTAATGTGCACCAGTATCGCTTCCAGTTCAATTGCCTTCATGCGCGTTTTATTTTGAAACGCAAAGTCAGCAGCATAAACAAACTAGCAACGATTAGCTTTGAGTCAGTGTGACATGGACGAGCCGGACACCGCGGCGATCCTCCCCGACGATGAAGTGTCGACCAGCGGCTCAGCCGGGCAAAAAGAGGAGGCTGACGTGCCGACCACCCGCTCCGTACGACCACCGTTCACATGCCCGCTGCCGGTGTCTGTGGAGCCAGTGTTGTTCCTGTCCATGTTTTCTCTGGCCCTGCAGGCGCCTCTGTCCACACAGTACCTGTGGGACCGCATCAGCGAGGACCTCGGCTACAACGGCTCCAAGGGGTCGGGGTGCAGCAACGGCTCCGTGCCCCCCGACCCTCTTCAGAAGGTGGTCAACGTCTTTTAACGGTTAACGTCTCACTGTCGACGTCTTTTAACGGTTAACGTCTCACACTCAACGTCTTTTAACGGTTACTCATACTCAGTAACTTTATAACGGTTGTCAGTCACAGTGCTGCTGCTGCTGGTCAGATCTGTAAGTTAAGTGCCTTGCTCAATGATACCTCGATAATAGTAGCTGTCAGCTAGTTACTCTCATTCATGCGCCTTACTGAACAGCTATTTAAAGTTAGTTAGCGAGCTTACAGCCACCGCTGGTGTCAGGTTATGTTAGTCAGCAGGCCAGGTGTGGATCATTAACTACCTGCCTGATAATGGAGTCTCTTTGGATAGCTTGAAGTAACGTTAAAGGATTCACACTTACAAACACTACAATTGTGGGTTAACAAGCTGAATTGTTTTAACTTGTTAATTAACATGGACATGTTTTTAACAGAAGACATCCTATAGAATATATTTAATAATAAAGTAGTTAGTAAAGAGATGAGATATACAAGACATACTTTAGAAACATAATAAACATAACTTAAATCATTCTGCCACAATGAAATACATGAATACAGGGACGTTTAGAAGCATACTTACATTTAAAGAGGTGGAATCATCTTTGCACGATGCAGGTGTAGAGATAAAAATAAAACATCTGCAATGAAGGAAAACGACTTTAAAATAGTCACAGCATTTAACCCAGAAACAGTTTCCACAAAGAGGAACCGCAGTCACAAGTTGAAACTAAGCAACAGAGATATGATGAACGTGCACAATTTGAACAGGTTCACTGGTGCTTTTTTTAGTTTAGAGGCAGTAATCATGGTTAGATAGATCAGCAGTTTTCTGTCCTCACCAGGACACAGCCCTGACATTTTGTTGTACTCAGCTTCAGTAATTATGCACTAAATTAGACCCATGATGCTTGGTAAATGTGATTATGGGTGCCATCCTGTTTGTTAAGTGTTGTTGACCACGTCACTCTTGTCGTCTTACAGGAGGTGGAAACGTTGACAGCCCACTGGAACCTGTACATCAGTCTTGGAGGATTTTCTGTAGGCCTGTTAGTGGTGCCTCTCCTGGGCTCATGGAGTGACCTCGCCGGTCGCAGACCTGTCCTCATCCTGCCCAACCTAGGCCTGGCCCTCCAAGCGGTGGTCTACCTAGTGGTGATGTACCTGAAGCTACCTGTCATCTACTTTCTAGTGGGCAGGCTACTTAGTGGCCTTTCGGGTGATTTCAACGCCATCCTGGCCGGCTGCTTCTCGTATGTAGCTGACACCAGCGACAGAAGGTCCCGCACCTTCAGGGTGGCGGTCTTGGAGGCTTGTCTGGGCCTTTCAGGGATGCTAGCCAGCGTCATCGGAGGGCAGTGGCGGCGGGCACAAGGGTAAGAAATGGGTCATGTATCTATAGAAGTATTAGTAGTACAGTGCAGTTCTGAATTGTTAATCATTATCGTTATATTTTTGTGTCTTTTTATTTAGGTACATCAACCCTTTCTGGCTGGTCCTGGCCACTAACTTGGCCTCGGCTCTGTACGCTTACCTGTTTGTCCGTGAGTCTGTCTTTCCAGACCCAAGTGTCCCGCTCTTCAGCTCTCGCCACTATAAAGCTGTCTGGCACCTCTTCTCAACAGGAGGCAGTAGTAGTGAGGGAAGTGGCAGATGTAAGCTGTGGCTTTACATGCTGTGTTTCTTTCTGGTGGTGACTGTACACTTCGGCAGCAGGGAGTTGTATGTGTTGTATGAGCTCAGCTCACCGCTGTGCTGGGGGCCAGCTCTCATTGGATATGGATCAGCGGCTCAGCACCTGGCCTACCTTACCAGTCTGCTGGGGCTGAAGATCATGCAGCGATGTCTGGCGGACTCCTGGGTGGCTCTCGTGGGTCTGGCATCCAACGTCACTGGGCTGGTGGTCTTCTCTGTAGCGGACACTACGCAGCTTATGTTCACAGGTGAGACGATGTGGAGACATTTTGTAAACAACTTAGATGTGAATGGGTTTTATGTGTAATGTTTTTCTGTTCATAAACAAAAGTAAAGTCAGGACAAGATGTAGCCAAGGTCCGATTACTCCACTATTACTCACAGAAATCAGTAATTACTAAGCCTCTATAAGGTATGTTGACAACTAAAATCCTTTCCTAGGATTTTCCTTTGCGCTAAACTTGCAGAGTATATCCATTTAATGACCTTACACTTCAATTTAATACGTAATTTTTACCTTCTTAACCTCCTTTACTTCTGCTTTCCCAGCTACACTAAAGGTTTTGAGTGCACGCACACTTTCTTACCCACAGCTGAAAGTCATCTCATATTATCAGGCAAACGCCGTCATGCTGTTACAGCTCAGCAAGCGACAGACTGAACAGGTTGTGTACGGTGACTACCTTGAATACAAGGCAATAAAAAAACTCATTACATCGCTGCTTGTAGCCTGTTTAACATTAACGTTAACCACAAACTGCATTGAGGTGAGGTTTTCAGAGATTGTAAAGAGGTTGCACAATAAGTATTAGTGATCGTAAATTGTGTCTGTCACCAGGTTACGGTCTGTGTTTTCTCTTCATGGCTGCAACACCTGTTCTTAGGTCAAAGCTGTCCAAGTTGGTGGACCCATCCGAACAAGGTCAGTCACTGCACATGTACAAATACTACAACAACAGACCGTCTTTAACACAGCAAACTGTGCAATAATTTCAAGCTGTGAGGATTATATTGGGGAGAATGTATATTGTTTCCTTGTTACTAAATGCTCACGAACACATCTGGAAATGAGAGCATCAGTGTGTCAGTTGTGTAGCATTTGAATGAGTCGGTGAATTGTAATGATTATAATTAGATCCGTATTATAATGACGACAGCTTGTGTCCTGCTAATTGTATAAGTGTGTGTGTACTTGGTTCCAGGTGCTCTTTTTGCGTCTGTTGCCTGTGTGGAGAGTTTATGTTTTCTGGTGGGCAGTGGCCTCTTTAACTCCCTCTACCCAGCCACACTGCACTTCATGAAGGGTTTCCCCTTCCTGTTTGCTGCCTTCATCCTCTTCATCCCTGCTGGAATAATTGGGTGAGTTTGCTCTTGCCCCCGTTGCCCTAACTGACCTCACCAGCAAACACATTACAACTTCTACTCCTCCTCATTATTATTATTATTATTATTATTATTATATACAGTATATTATAAATTATTAACAGCAGTTTGTGCTGTCTTTCTAGGACCCTGCAGTGTTTAGACCAGAGGAGAGGCCACAGAGACCCGACAGCATCCTGACCTGAAGGGAGGTTTCAGTCTATGAGGTGAGCAGCTCTGAGACATCATATCATCTGTGATGCTGAGAGACTTCTTGGCCGTAACACATTGACGGGGCAGCTGACTGTTGTTAGCTAGCTCAGTGATGGGATTCTTCCAACCAGTCACACCAAAGTGATCAAGAGCAAAGGATGAAGAATCAACCTCCTGACTGTCATTACAGTTTTTGCATAGTCCTCCGATAATGAACAAGATTCGATACTTGCTTTCATTTTGTGATTTTACATATTTCCATTACGACGTAATGAGTGCCAAAGAATGTGCCTTACATTTCCATTTTGAATGTCAGTAGCTCTAATGACACACGACAGGTGAAGGTGCTAAGAATGTTTCATATCAAGCATGGATGCAAAGTAATGTGTTTTCAGACGGTGATTTAAGTGCAGTAGTAATCAGTAAGTAATCACTAAGTTTGACATCCTTGACACAATAATGATTAATATTTTTTAGGATATTAACGATGGAATTTTGATCAATCGCAATTCAGCTTGCTGGACTGTAACACCCAAAGACATTGATCATGGACCTTCTTATTGTTTTTGTTTAACATATTTCTGTGTATTTATAACAACAAGGGCAAAAACTATAAGGACAACAGGTATAAGGACAACATGTGGAAAGGGATAATGACAAGTGGATTTATACGCAGCTCAAGTATTGTGAAACATTTTCTGCAAGCCTGCTGTTATAATGTTTATTAGTTTAATTGTTTTTATTGAATCATGTATTCCGGTACAATCAATTTGTTGGTTCTCATCTTATGTATGTATATGACTCTTTAACCCTCAGCAACAAAACTAGTAAGCAGATTTCCTAAAAGTCTTTTCCATTAAGCTCAGTCAAAAGCTGCTGCTCCTTTATTTATTTACAAAAGCCAACCACCGCTGTTAAAATAGTAATTTCGTAACAAAAGTGCCATCAAGTGATGAGAGACAACCTCACTTCTGGCAGTGAGTTTTATTCCACAAAGGGAGGTAAAAGATATAAATCTAGTTTTGCTTTGAGATATGTTCTAAATCTACTAATTGTCACTCATTGAGATCATATAGAATGAGTCACGGTTATATATATGTGATATTTTTACTTAGAGATAGATGACTTAGATGACGTGATAGATGATGATAATGAACCATTCTGAATTAATAACTAATTTGGAGCAAATACAAGTACAGAAACCGACCTGTGATTGTAGCACATTTTGTATTCAGTATATAAGATCAAGCTTTTTCTAGCCACCTGTTTACCTTTGTGTGCTTCTTTATACTTCTACTGTACTACATTACAGTAGCAAGTATTGTACTTTTTACTCCTCACTCCTTACATAAGTTACTACTTAAATTGTGATGGGTTTTTTTTATAGGTTTAGATAAGACTTTATTGATCCCCAGGGGGAAATTCACGAGCTACTCAGCCGTACTTATAGTAGTTGAAATGAGACCCACCTTTAGCAGCTCTAGCGTGATGTACACATCAGTTATAATAATCCAATAAGATCATTTGCAAACTGTAGCCGCAGCCAGGGATTACTGAGTTACCCTTTGACCCTCCCTCCTCTTTCCATAAAGCAGAGCACAGTCCAGACTCCCTCCAGAGTCCCCCTCCCACCACCACAACAACACTCGATAGTCCCAAAGCACAGGCCCACAGCCAACATGCACACAGAGGTTGGGTCTTAGTCGCACAGTGAGGGAACAAGAGCTGCCGAATCAGCTTTAAAATGCACAAAGGGAAGTTTGGAGGTCAAGTGAAGTATTAACTCAGATAATGTGAATTGATCTGCATGAAGATTATTCTTGACAGTGGGTGGATCATGTGGTCACAGCCATTCTTCAAGTGTCTATTCTTCATTGTGCAATATTTGTAAGTTGCAATCATTTTATTTATTGGAATATGACTGGATCATTTTGGATACTTTGTGATAAAGATGGTGATTACATTTGTTTGTCACACATAATGAAGTTCAAATAAAGACTTTCATTGTGAAATGTTTTATAACACATTTTATTTGACCATATTTCAAATGAAGGGAACAAATTATGTTTGTTTCACACTGAAAACATTAAAAAACATGATGATAAAAAATAAAATCTTGTTCTACTTCTTGAAAATAAGTTAATGTCAATTACACAGAGCGTATTTAATAAATGAGGTGGACATTGGAAGCAATATTAAGGTCAGATAAAAGCCCTGCAGTTGCATTCAGCCTATAATATAATTTTATTGAACAATATGTGGAAAGACATCTTGATGACTGCTTTGGTTAATTTGCAAAACTTACAAATGTTTCATCACGCATTTATTTCAGCATCATCACATTCTTTTTATATCATATTGCTCATTTCTTTTTGTTTTTACTCCCATTTAATACGCTGAGGGAACAAGGATGACATTTCCGTTGCAAAGCCAACAATTAAATACTTGATATTTAATAATCAGAGTTAACAGTGTGGCGAATGACACCTCAAGTCAACAGTATTAAATGATATTACATTACGTTGTAACAGTGGGCAACGAGACACACTGTAAGGAGTTAACTGCATTTTTGAGTACTGTAAGTTAATGTACATCAATTCAAAGTTATATCCACTTTTACAGAAAAAATTAAATGTTTAATACTACATGGGTATTTGTCGTTGCCTGTACACTCCTTAAATCTGTGGCTAAAACAGTGGTGCTGCTTGTAGCTCAGTTATTTCTGTACAGTAAGTCTCCAGCATAGATTATGCCCACAATCAATGCATCTGCTAGGAACAGTTTCTTATCTATCACATAACATAACAACACAAACGTCAGTAAAATAAGACAGAAATGTACAGTATACGAGTCGAACAAAAGATGATTGCATACAACTTCTATGAAAGCTGACGTGTTAGTGGATGCTTCAGAAAATGCTGTTGATGATTTTGCTGGGTCCCAGTGTCGGCTGATCTATCACAGTTATTTTCCTGAGAGACAGAAGGCGTATATTGTACCTGATTACACATATAGAGCAGTGTGCGGGTACTATCATTTAAAGGCTTACAGTTTATTATATACAATCAGAAATCCCTTTTTTAATTTCCTTTATTGTTTGCAATATATTAGGTCTATTTATATTAGGTATTTGTGTGAGCATGTAAGCTAATCATAATCAAATTCACTTCACATGCGTTTGGGCAGAGCGGGGGAAGCTGCTGGCCAGTCCACCGTCGGCCATGTGGAATTTGGCATCATTGAAAGTTATTATAGCTGAGATCAAACTCTGTATATGTCATTTGTTATCTCATTCTTTCTTTTTCTCCCCTTTGGAGGCGCCTGGGCTGTCCATTTGGTCTTGGTGTCCATTCAGAAAGCGTAGGATCTTCTCGATCGTGGCCTCCTGATACTCATGGGACCATCTGTGTCAAGTAAAGGCAACAGGCATTTGATGATATTATAAGTGCTCTCTAATGGATATGTTACAGATCTGCACCTATTACAGACAATAAAAAGTTAACCCATGTATTCAGAAATTATTCTTTAAAGAAATAAAACTCTTGTATTTCTTTAAACTATAATTTCTTATGCTTTATGCTTTAAAGGATTAGTAAAGTGACTACTGTGTCGTTATCACACAACCCTATCTCTTAAATGAGGGATTGAACCTGTTCGGAATAGCATTTCCCCTCCTAATTAAAGCTTACTTTAGGTTCACCACATAACTATGTGATAAACATTTTGAAAACATGTAGCTGCAGAGTTGCGCTAACCGCAAGGTTAATTTGAGTTTTCACTTACTTGATACCGTTGAATTTGAGAATTGCTCTCATGTCCTCCGGCAGACACATGGGGTCGGGCCATGTGAAATTATCTGTGACAGGAACTATGTTCTTCTTGCCAGCCAAGGCTGTGACAATCTCCTGCAAGATTAATGATCATGTCTTTGAGTCTATGGCATATTTCCATATTGTGTAAAACCACAAATAATTTCTCAGGCCTGCTGCAGAAGACAAAGACTAGTGACATTTTCTGATCCTGACATTAACATGCATTTTGTACGTGTATGTGGAATATCGTGATAGGGTTAAACTAAAGGTGCGGTGAAGTTACAGTATTAAGCAATAATTAGATTTAATGAGTCCCTCACATGCAAGCAAATGGAAAACTTCTAACCTTATGCACCCAATCCTTCATGGCAGTGTCACCCATGCATTTGTCAAGCGCATTTGAGGACAGGACCAGGATGAAGTTACGTGCCCTCTGTACACTCTGAATCAGTTTGTCTTCGAATTTACCAGCTTCAAGCTTCTCCACATCTATGAACACGCTGTATCCTCGAACCTGCAGGTGCACCTTCAAAAGGCTGGGGTCAGGGGAGAAAATACATTTTAAAGATGAATCGAGACATTACATATGACTTATGTCACCCTGGTTCTAATTTTAACCCATGTTCTCCTCCTGAATGACCACCTTTTCCACTACACCTGTTTCAGTTCTGACCTGGCCAGCTGTGAGCCGGTAGTCCGACGGTAGCTGATGAACACGTCGGGCCCTGCAGGCTGGGCGTCTGTGAGGCACGCTTTTAAGGGTTTGCGGCTACAAGATAGTATCTTGGCTCTGTGGACTCCGTTGTCTATGTGGCAGTCGTGCTGGAGCTGCAGATCGGTCAGGTCCTGGACATTGTTGCGATCCACCCCCGACTGGACCAGGCCGTGGGTGTACTGACGGAAACGAGGGTCCACCTGCACCAACCAGTCGGCCATATTGGTTGGATCACATGTAGAGTAGTTGGCATAAGTCTTCAACACGCGCAAGTCTCTCAAAAACCTGGAGGATGAGACAGAACAGAGGTGTTACATTGCTCAGCCTTTAGAAACCTGTGTTGAATGGTTTGTACCACTTGCCTCTTGCGAGTGAGGCCTGCAGTCATGCCCAGATCAGTGAACAGATCCTGGTCTGTGATGTTCAGCAGGAGGTCTCCATCCACCTGGAGCTCCTACATAGTAAGATGGTTAGAAAATGTCAGACATATTCTATATTAGGTAGATTGTATTTATCTCTCTGTTGAGTAACAGAATCAGAATCAGAATTGGGTTTATTGCCAAGTAAGTTTTTACACATACAAAGGAAGGGTTAGTGTTTAACTTACCTGGAAACGCTCACAATAGGCACTAAAGCCAATCTGCTGCAGCCAGGTCTGCACTCCACAGGTTTTCCAGTTGGGCACACATGACGGGATACGTTTTGGCACTTCTTCTCCCATCATGCTCAGTGCCCGCTTGGCGAGGCCAGAGGCTGTGCCATTACTGGAGTACATGACGATTCTTTTTAGGCTCTGCACTGCTCCGATCTCTTGAAATATCTTGGGAGGAGGACACATTAAAGTCACAGTCACAACAAAGCTACCGGACAGTGTTACCTAACATTTTGAGGAAGGTGGGCAGCGATTGTACCTTGGTATTTCGCTGACGAGACTTGATGCTGGTCTCAACGCAAAGGTAAAAGGCTGCAATGCACTTTCCCTCCAACCTCGTCCCATCAAGTAATGGCAGAAGATGCTGCAGATCAGATGCCGTCCTACCTTGCATGCAGTCTGCACTGTCCAATAAACTGCGGGCAAAGTCATCCGGATCCAAAGACGCAATGAATGGCTCCACCAGCTCCAAGGTTCCAGATTTCACCACCTCCTTCTCAATTTCTCTGTTCGCAGCTAACACAGTCACAGCCAGACATGCATGGAATCGAATGAGTTCATCCTCTTTGGAAAAAGCCAGTGGGAAAAGCCACTCAGCCACCTGTTTCTCGATCATCAATCTCTGGCAGCGGTGGCCGCCGTACATGGCACAGTTTGTTAGAGCCACAGCACAGTGACGTAGCACGGTGGGATCTGTACCTCGGCACCAGAAGAGGAGGGCATCCAGGGCTCCATTAGTGATGAGGTGGATGGATGTCTCCTCGGTGTGTTTGAACATGTGCTCCAGGATCCCCGAGACACTGCGAGCCAGCTGTGCATCTTCCTGCTGTCGAGTCAGGTTGAGAATGACCCCCAGACCCATACGCGCTAAATAATCTCTGTCAACATAAGTGTGTAACATAGGGAAACAAAACTTGACTCATACGATCAATTCTACATTAAACAGATACTCCTGAACGAATGAGGCATACATAGGCATATATGGGCTGTTTGGTAACAACCAAAGTTATCAGTCAACTAGTGCTGAAACAATTAGACAATTAATGAATAACTTTTTTTCACTGCAAATTAAACAGATTTAGCTTTTTACTGCTGGTTGGATGCAACAAGAAACTTCTATATGTCATTCTACATTTGTGATGGGTTTTTCACAGTTTTCAAACATTTTCTAGATGATGAAGATATCAGATAAGAGTTTAACTTCTTGTTGAGAGGTCATTATGTTTTTGTTATCCTGGCAAGATCATATGCCAGAAATACCAACTATTGTATCATGTTGCCTGATATTGTCAATTGCTTATGTTGTTTTCTCTATCCCTGTACAAATTTAAAAAATGAATGCCCCCAAACTAATTAAAACATCTCAGCAGAAACATTACAATCTTTAAAATGTTGTTTATTGCAGAGCTGTTGTATTAGACTGTATCATAATGTAAAAGTATTCACGTTATTTTGTCCACCCCTGCACACACACTAGCCTACCTGTTATCTGAGATCAGGATCTGCTCCAGCAGTTTTGCAGACTCATAGGTGATCTCCACAGCAGGTGTCTCTTGAAGCTGTAGCAGCAGCTCCAGGCCTCCATCCAGCCGGATCCTGGTGCAGATCTCCTCGGCCACCTGACGGCCTACGGTGGGCAAGACCCAGGCCTCCTCCACCAGCTGGAAGATCTCCGCGATGGCCCTGCGGGTGTCACCTGGATGAGAGTTTTCCTTGCCTGACTTCAGCCTCCTGATGGCGCAGCGCAGGGCTGGGAGGGAGGTGTCCAAACCCGCCTGGACGTCGGCGCTGATGCCCGGAGAGACCGGTCTGGGGTCGGGACCGGAGCCGCTCCTCCCTCTCTGCAACCGGCTGACATATTCGGGCACCGTGAGTCTGTCCGAGCTGAACATGATGGAGAAATGTCGGTAGAGCCTCCACAGGAAGAGGGTCAGAGAAAAGAGCATCTACCGGCAGAAACGTGTCGGTATCAGAGTGGATGATGGGATGTGTTTGTTTGTTTACAACGCTCGTATGCAAGTCAGTGATTTACAGTCAGCTGTCCGCCTAAACACTGCTACAGATGCGTCAACACAGGCCTCAGCTGTAAATCAATAGTGACAGCTTTCACCAAATTGCATCACCTCTCTCTCTCTCTCTCTCTCTCTCTCTCTCTGTGGCAGTAAGCCCATAAACAGTCATAAGCAGATCTTGAGCAGGTCGCAGTGTGTCTGCGCATAATCGTGCCTCAACAGAAGCTGCTTTGTCTCTATTTTCCCACCGACTGGCCAACTGGATGATGATTCAAAGCCTTCACAGGATCTGTTGACAGTAGTGTCCTCAAACAGACAACATCCCGGCACACTGCACCGCAAACTGAACGCCCGGGGAGGCAAATCCGGTTTGTTTTCCTGAGAAGTCAATACACTATTGTTGTGTCTTTTTCATTCGTTGTTGAGGTTTTGCAGACAAAAGAAGGCCTCTTCTTCAAGTATAGGTTATCTGACGCACTATAACGGCTCGTGTCTCCTGAACAAAAAAAAATACAGAATATAACATATCATCAGCATGTCCGACCTATCGCATCCTTTCAGTCAGCATCCACAGACTGTCAGCATCTTCAGGGGTCTGCACCGCCCACCGGCTCCGGATACTACCGGGGATGAACAGGAAAAGAAGCATTCCCGCCCCCCACCCCACCCCTTGTTCTTCCTCCTTCTCCCCTCCCTGCACCCTGCAGCCGGTCAGAGCATGCTCACCGTGCCCATAAACACTGCAGGCCCTCTGCTGGAGCAACTGGAGAAAGACCTCTGAGTCACACCATGTTGTGCTGTACACAATTTATGTGATGGTTGTTATGACTAATATTACTATTTAATTAAGTAAATGCCTTAAGGAGTTATATCACTAGACTCTCTCACTGAGTTTGAGTTGGCTGACACAGTTTAATGTATTTAAAGGAACGTAAAGAGAGAACATGACTAAGCAGAGGTGGCAAATATATATAAAATATATCGCACATATATTCTTTACTCAAGTAGAAATACCATTGATAGTATATATAAATAGAGAAATACAGATACTTGTGTGAAAGCGCCAGTTAAAGTAGAAATATTGATTCAACTTCTTTTTTCACGTAAAAGTGGAATACTCAAAATATAAAAGTAAAAAGTACTATATAATAAAAAAATAATAAAAATAGCGAATTGAAATCAGAAATACTTTATTGATCTCCAGGGGGAAATTGGTTGCATTACTCAAGTTGCTAAACAAAGACATAAGTAATAGAAATAATAATAAAATATGTGCATTAAATTACAATATATAACAATAAATTGTAAATAAGATGTTCAAAATATATATTGTTGCAGTAGGTAACAGAAGTATAATGAATAATGACTAAATACTGATAATGCTTGAGAACTGAATAGGTGTGTTATAGAACAGTTACAGTTTATTTAAAGGCCAGTTGATTGACTAATGACTAACAGTGTCTGACACTCTGAGGGAGAAGTTGAAGAGTTTGATGACCACAGGCAGGAATGACTTCCTGTGGCGCTCTGGAGAAAATCAGTACTGTCCTGAAACAAGATGAGCTCAGTGACTTTGATCCAGTCCAGAGACAGAAATCATGGAGGAGTATTTAGAGTTTCCCCACCAAAATGTTTCTTCATTGTGTGGAGAGGACACAGTTTAGATCTTTATGCTGGGAAATAGTATAACTTGGAAAAAAAGTGATTAAACAGTTAACTAAATAAATGAAATATTAAAAGTCAATGTAGTCTACATAAATCTATGTAGAGGTTGTTTTTCTGGTGGAGAGAGGGGAAGTAAAATACATGATTACAGATTTTAAAAAGTACTTAAAAGGATACAAATATAATCTTTGAGATGACAATGAGAGTACTTGAAATTAGTTACTTCCTGTCCCTGATTTTGAGTCAGTATCAAGAGCTTTCAAGACAAGCTATAGGCACTATAAACAAATACTCATATTTGGTCAGAGGTGAATATAAACTGTGTCACTATGGGCTCAAATTCTTCACATTCAGCAGCGGAGAGAAACATCTTTAACAGGTTATTTGAGATATTGCAGCAAGTTTCAGTTTCTTTGCAGCTTTAAATGTCATGGTTAGTGTGGAGAGAAAGTATGAAGTAAACTCTTCTTTATTAGCTCGTAACCTTATGTTAAACTGTTTTATGAGATCTGGCAGCAGGCCAGTACTTTGCTCTTGTGTCTTCATTGTGTCCTCACAGCTGCATTCATGTCTAGTCTCGTCCTGAAAGCAGGTAATAAAATAACACAGGATGTTTCTGATTGAGGAGCATTACTCAAAGAGCAGAGAGAAAGTCACTAAATGACTGACAGATTGCAGTAAAATGCAGGAGCAGCGTGGTCAGAGGTCAACAGGTGGTCACATTGCTTAAACTTTTGTTTCCTATCGATCTCTTTCCCTCTGTGTGTCTCTGTTTATCTGCTTGAGTAGAAAGAGGTTTTCAAATAAGGTTAAAAGCAAACAAGGAAGAGGGTGACTGACACATGTTTCAAATGATTGGAAGCACACGGCCCATCATTACTTCTCTCATTCTGTCCTCTCACACAACAGAGGCAACATGAGGCTGTGGGCCGTCCTGCTGCTGGCTCTGCTCGCTCAGACTTTTGCTGAAGATGGTGAGTATAACTTTAAAAAATACGTTTTAAAGTTCAGAAAAGGATTTGTAATAAGTGGTTGTTATTCATCTTTCTGTATAGTTTTGTCATTTTACAGTCAGATTTGATAGATCTGTGACTTCAGTGTGTGTCAAGTTTACTGATTTAGAGTGTATATTTTTCTGTCAGCAGCTAACATGTCTGATACAAATCAACACTTCATTACATTTTTAATTTATTTTACCACATGAAAAATAGTGAAAAATGCCCTTCAAAAATGGGCATAACACAAAGCAATGATTTCATTTCTTATCATCAGTCCACAATCCAAATTTATTCAGATTTTATTATATAAAACAGTAAAGAACAGCAAAAAATCATATTTACGAAGCTGGAATGTGAATATTTGGCATATTTGCTTGATAAATTACCTTTAAGTAAGTATAAAAAAAAGTTATGTGTCAGTTAACTTATTATTACAGCACTTACTACAATTATACAGTTATAACAGGATATAATAAGCAGCCATTAAATATACAGCGCTAGCTACAATGATAGGAAAAATATCATTAATAATAAAGAACAACAGATCCCATGATGCCATTGGCATGCTGTCAAAGCCTCATGGGAACTGTAATCAAATCAAATCCAATTTAACTTTATTATCCAAAGAAGGAAGTGTATTTGGTCTAAGAATACTCAGAAGAAGTGCAAAAAAAAACAGACCATCCGTCCATTTTCTTTATCTTCTATCTTCAGAGTCTTGTATGGGTCGCTGTGAGAATGGCTTTGACGCCCAGAGGAAGTGCCAGTGTGACTCCATGTGCAAGTATTACAAGAGCTGCTGCTCTGACTTTGAGGCCACCTGCGGCATGATGAGTGAGAAAACCTCTCTGCTCATTTGTTTAAAATTGTCCTGTTGTGAGTTTAATGACGGTCACTGATAGCACTTTTCACCCTCAGCTCGGGGAGACACATTTGTGTTTGCAGAGGATGATGATGAGCTTGAAGGTACCACTCCATCCCCTAGACGCTCTTTTACCCCCATCAGTCATCGTCTGCAGCCCTCGCAGCGGCCCATCTCAGACTTCGGCCGCAGATCACATCCGGAAACCACACTGGAAATGACCAAACCAACTCAACTGAAAATCCCCTTTATGCAGATGACACCCATTTCTCAGACAGTCCCACCTATGCAGGACGTCCCCAGCATGACTGAATTCCCTCCGACTGAGGCAGCCACTGAGGCAGCCACTGATGCGACCACTGTTCCAACCACTGTTCCCACCACTGTTCCCATCACAACAGCCACCACTGAAGCCCCTGACCCAGACGCTGTGGTCTGCAGTGGGAGGTCTTTTGACTCCTTTATGCAACTAAAAAATGGCTCCATATATGCCTTCAGAGGTGAGTGACAGGCACTGCAATGCCCTTATATTCAAATATAGTAATCTGACACTTGATGAAGAGCAACAAAGTTTAGTTTTTGCTGTAGAAGAAATGTGGCACGGTATGTTTATGTTGTTGGGGAACATGCTTATGTGTTGTTGTTTTTTTCTAGGGGATTACTTTTTTGAACTGGACCAGAAGTCAGTGCTTCCTGGTTATCCAAAGCTAATAAAGGACGTGTGGGGCATCAGCGGGCCCATTGATGCTGCCTTCACCCGTGTCAACTGTCAAGGGAAGACTTATATGTTCAAGGTGGGGACCCATGAAATGAGCTTGTATTAATCCGAGCAGATACAGGTTTATCATTTTAATGTTTAAACAAATCAAAACTTTCATCAGGGAAACAAGTACTGGAGGTTTGATGATGGCGTGCTAGATGATGACTACCCTCGAGATATCAGCGTGGGCTTTGACAAGATCCCTGATCACGTGGATGCAGCGTTTGCTCTGCCTGCCCCCGGTCACAACGGAAAAGAAAAGGTCTATTTTTTCAAAGGTACGCCACAATATATTCAGATATTTCTACAGGAACTGGTATACAAGTAACATAAAGTTACTTAATTCTGGCATCTTATTGGTTACTCCAGGCGATCAGTACTACACCTACGAGTTCTTGCACCAGCCGTCCCACGAGGAGTGTATCACCATGTCTGAGAGGTCTCCGTCCACACTGTTCAGACGCTACACTGACGTATACTACAACAACTACGAGCATTTCTTCAGCGAGCTCTTCTCTGAATGTGAGTTGTGGTGTTAATGATGATTTGTGCTTGTTTGGAGGTTGGAGGCAGGTGTACAGCTCATTGGTTTATCTGACCCCTCTTTAGTGCCTCAACATCATGACAAACACCACTTCATTGCGAAGGACTGGAAGGGCCTCAAGTCTCCGGTGGATGCTGTCTTGACAGGCAGAATGTACGTCCCTCCGTTGAGGCCCACGAGGCGCCGCAACGACTACCAGCCTTACCAGCAGTGGGGTCAACAGCAAGGACAGCAGTGGAACCAGCAGTACGGACAGCAGTGGGGCCGTCGCAGGCAAAGCCGTTCACCCTTCTGGGGGTCCATGGCTGAGAAGGGGATGAACATGGGCCAGGACTTTGCAGAAAGGGGGATGGAAATGGGTCTGAGGTTGGCAGAGAGGAGGATGGAACTGGAGGAGAGGCTCGGACGAGACTGGGACAGACGCTGGGATCAGGACTGGGACCAGGACAGGCGGAGAGACAGTTACCGCCAGAACAACAGAGGCAACTACGACTCCAGAGGTGACCGGTCGTACTTGGAGCCCATCCCGAGGAATATGCCAATACAGACCGTCTACTTCTTTAAAGGAGGTAAAGCAGCAGGGGCAGATTAATTAGCAGTGCAGTTTGCATTAATAATAGAAAAACAGACCAAAAAAAAGACACAGACAGTATTTTCTCCTCTAGTTACAACACATCCAAAAGCTCTTGCTCTTCCATCCTTTTTTTGGAGAAGATGTACTTTACTCTACCATAATCTGAGGATCATTCGGGCAGCAGTGAAAACTCCTACCATTATCACTGCAGAGTCATATTTCTATATATTAGTATTTTCTGTCCCCCAGTTGGTCTATTCTTGGTAAAACAGGTCATTCATTCAACTTTTAGACCTCAGGATGGTGCCTGTGCCCTATGTATGCAAAAACTGAGACATTTACTACAATTAGAGCTGCTACTAAGAATTATATTCATTATTGATTCATTGCTTAGTCTTTAAAATGTCAGAAAATAGTGGGAAAATGCTCATCTGAGTTTTATCAGAGCCCAAAGTGACATCTTCAAATTCCTCGTATAACCTGACCGACTGTCCAAAACCTAAAGCTACTTAAACTACAATGACATTAAATTGTGAAACGCAGCAGAACCTCACATCTGATAACACGTAACATGTGAATGTTTGCATTTTTGTTTGATAAATCACTGGAACATTTAAGCAACTGCCAAAACAGCTGTCAGTGAATCAATTAATTATTTGTTTCAGCTCTAGTTACAATCTGAATTCACAGACGCAGTACAAACACACATATAAAAACAACCTGTACAACGCTGTCTCAGTGGGTTAGTTCTCTGTACCTGCTCGCTCCTCCCCTGCTTCCGAAATAAAAATACCTCTCACTTTTCCCAGGAACATGTTTCAGCTCTTTTAGACTTAGATTTCTGAAAGAAACCCTCTGTGAGATGAGTTACAGATGAGAGTGGACAGGAGCTCAGTAATTTAATCAAACTCAGCTCTGTCTAGCCACAGACGGTTTATTATAACTAGTTTCACATGCTGTGTATTAGTCCACATGACAAAGAAACAAACACAGGAGCTCTTTACTCTCACTCCTTGTGTATTCCTGCACGATTCTCAGTAGATATCAGTTTTAATAAGTGATTAATAAATAAGTGTTTGATGTATGTTGACAGTGGTGACAGCTCCAGACTGCTGTTATGTTATGTTTACTGGCTGGGAGTTGGCTTTAAGGTCAGCAACCATGAGCTGCTCCCACAGATAAAAATGCCTGATGTCTAGACTGGGGGAGGGGTTTCATAGACATAGACTTCATAGGACCTTCCACTCCTCTTAAGTTATCCATAGAAGGAGAATGAATACCTTGTTTTACGTGTTTTCCAGATAAATACTACAGAGTGGACCTCAGGAGCAAGAGAGTCGACCCCGCCGTGCCTCCATATCCCAGATCCATCGCCAAGTACTGGCTCGGCTGTTCAGACACCACCGGGGCGGAGAAGTAGTTTCACATGTTTTTAGGTATCTTAATATGATCATTTTGATTAGATTTGTATATAACCAATCATTAATTTGACCTGAAGTAGTGTTTTCTGTAAGAAAGTGTGTCAAACCTTTCCAGTGTAAACTAACTGTTCTTCAGCAAATATTGGAGATCAATAGTCCACACACCGCACATAAAGGCTAAAGTTCAGCTGGTTGATTGTAAGATTCTCGTCTCTTGTCAACAACAGCCAACCCGCTTTATTAAACTGACTGTAGTGAAAATGGCCTCAAGTTATTAAACCAGAAGAGATTCCAGAGACTCACAGCTTCTCGTTTAGTTTTCAGTGTCATAATAATGAGGAGTTTGTTACATCAGTGGTGGAACATAATCAAGTACTTTTACTCAACTACTGTACTTTATAGAAGTTTTGAGGTACTTGTACTTGAGTATTTAAATATAATGTTACTTCATACTTCTACTAGACGGAAATATTGTACTTTTAACATTTATCTAAAACCTATAGTTACTTTGAGATTTTAAATACAACACTTATAATCAACTTATAAAATATGATGATCGTTAGAGGTCAAACTAACCAAAGTTATTACATCAGTAATAATATATTCTGTTAATATGATACATATGTCATTCTCAGAGGCCTCTCTTGTGTGTGTACTTTTACTTTACTGTTAATACTTTTGTAGCTTTACTTAAGGGTCATTTTTAACGCAGGACTTTTACTTGTTTACAGACTATTTTTGCAGAGTGGTATTTGCTACTTTTACTTAAATATTTCATTTTGTATTGATTCTGGCGGCCCCCTGTGGACAAAAGTGGTAGTGTTACTACTGCCTTGTTTCATTGATTTCAAGAGGAATCCAATTGGCCAGTGGCAGTAATTAAGAATAACTATATAGAAAGAACAAATCTTCTTGCTGATGGTCTTGTTTGCTTTTGTAGGTCATATTAAGGTATCAGTATTGCATTTAGACGGTTTCATAAGCAGTTAACAACTCCTTGTAGTAGTTAAAGATGTGAGCACTTCTTCCACCACTGCATTCAGAGACCCACACAGACAGTAATGTTTTCTAAATCATGTATCCACACATTTCAAAAAGTTTATTTTCATTATTAATTGTGAACATATATACAGTGAATATGAAAATATTAAATATGTACATAACAACATATAAAACTCTGGACATACTGGAGGTTTCATGCACAAAAGGGTCATTAGATCCTGATGTATGATCATACAGATGTTCCCTTTAGAAATGACAATAAAAATCCCTAAATTGCAATATTGTGGGTTTTACCTAACAGCAGCAATGTGTGAATGTCACAGCAGAGGTCAGAGGGCAGTGACAGGAGGGTTCATGATCGAGGGCACTCTGACTTTAGGTCGTGGATGTGAAAACATCAGTTTTCTATTGACTGGTATAAAAGGCAAATATAATACAGTGACAAAGCAACCCCGTTGAATGTTAGTGGTTTCTGGCAGATGTTTATCGGCTGTACTGTGTACTGAGTCAGAGTGAGTCACATTTATTGCATATTCACTGTTACAGTCTGTTCTTACTTCTGTTCTTGTATTTTTATCTGTGACAAATAAAAACATCAGTACAGCAGCAGATCAAATCTTATTCTCATGCTTAAATTATATCTGTTTTTGCTTGAAATGAGGACACATTTAACGATGACTTACTCTTCCACTGTTTCCTCTGGTCTTCCTTAAACAACCCAGATGTCCTTTCTCCAGTCTGTATGTCTATTCATCCCTTCTGAGTCCAGGCCCAGATATTGCAGTATGTAATACAGTTACAACATTCATCACTGGAGCAAACCTTCCCAATGCTCATGTTCATATTAAACTTGAGATACTGAAGGCAACCAGTGGTATTGTTTGGAGAAACCACACCTCATATTATTTCATATTCTTTCTAAACTATATGTTTTTATCTATATTCTACAGAATTTAAGCTAAAAGTTACGTTTTTTTTTAATAATAACAAATGCATGTAAATGACTATGTAACAAATAACATAATTCAAGAATCTCAGACCTGTAACAGACTCAGATTTACAGTAGTAATGAGGTTTTCCCCTTTGTGCCTCTATCATTTTAACTGCATAAATGTGCAGACCTGCTGACGTGCAGTTTTCTCTGAGGTTATGAGTGTTTAATCATGACGTTTTCATAGCAGGGTTCTGCACCTTCATTGGCGATTACCTCAGTGAGACTCGCGGCGTCTCCTGCTGGTCCCACAGTCTGGTAGTTGCTCTCAATTCTTACTGTACTAGGGTCAAAACCCTGCCGTGAGTCTCCCTCAGCCCTCAGATCTGACCCCGAGTCGGCTGAAGCCAACTCTGGTACGCTCTTCAAAATGGATGACAGTGGCCTTTTTGGAGTGGTGGCCTCAGACGAGGGAGTGTCACCAACAGCAGCTGCGTCAGGGGAGTTGAGAGAAGCATGCTTTCTCCTGATTGGCTTACATATGCCTGCCTCCCTTCCAGTCGGCCCTCCCTGCTCCCACACACTTGCCCGAGTTCCAAGCTTCTTTCTGGGTGGTTTGGTAATCCCTTCAGCTGCCTTAGGCTTCGGCCTGCCAGATTCTTGCTCCCTTTGTTTCTGGAGGCTGCCGAGTCGTCGTAGCATGGCCTGAACGGGGCCTTCAGAGGTTGACACGGGCTTACCCGCCTTACCCACCGTCACGTACACTGTGGTGACCTTATCTGGGAGCCCTGCCTGAGCATCAGAGGCAGATGTGGGCAGCTGGGTCCCTTTATTAGCAGCTGTGTTGGACATTGTCCGTCTTCGTCCTGATGCCCCGGGGACCTGAAGTGTGGCCCGGGTTGGAGTTCTGTCTTTTTCCTGGTCCCCTACATCACCATTTGATTCCTGATTGTCTGTTGCCTGCACATCCACTTCATCCTCCTTTTCCTCACCCTCACCCCCATCTTCCTCCCCAGTTCTAGCTCCACTTCCCTGACTTTGGAGTGCAGACAGCATCAGAACCCCCCAGGGTGACTTGGGTTTGTTGCGTGGGTGTCCTGGGAGAGCGCTGGGGTCCTGAGCTGAGCCACGCCTTTCCTTGGGACTGAAGCGGGTGCCCTCAGCAAAAGAGACAGACGGCCTCTTGGACTTGGCGATGCTGGAGGTGCGGGGGATGTTAAAGGGCGAGGTGATGTCCTCGCTGCTGAAGCCAGATGGGTCTAAGAACATGTTACACTTCGAACTCATCTCCTGGAACTCGCCACCCGCCATCGCCGGGATGTCTGAGAGACGGAGACAGGAAAGTCCAGCAACGTGAGAAGACATGGAGAGGAAGTCTACCAAAAGAGGGCAATGTAAAGTTTGGTGTATCCCTGATCCTACCTTCTCTTGGAGGGACACAGTACAGCGCCTCTCCCTCCTCCTCGTCAGTGTCGAAGGACGACCCCTCAGTCACCCAGCCAGAGGAAGGAGGCTCAATAAAGCTGTGGTTGAAAGTCAGCTCTGGGTCATGGTGAGATACTGTGTGTGTGTGTATATGAAAAATAGATTAATTCTAGTGTAATTCATTTAATTCTAGTAGTTTGTCATGATGATCAACTTTTTTTTACTTCTAATGTTACATAGTTAAGGTGAGCTGCTAATAAATAGTTCATACAGTCCTTCCACTGAAAGTGAAGGTTAAAAAGAACTCAAATATCTCTCACTAAGTGAACATGAAGCACACTCTTCATTACTGAGCTGCAGGACTGACCGGTGACACGAGGCAGGCCAGAGGACCAATCAGAGATACAGGGAAGAGCAGAACCGATGTTAGCCAGGACGCTGTAGACGTGATACTTCATCCGAACTGACAAGCCTCCATCAGCCACAGTTGCCCTGGAAGGAAGAAGGTTTTTATAGTCTAGAATTTCACACTGTGCTAGAGTTGAATTTGTGGTGATTGTACAGTTGAATCTCACTAAAATTAAAATCCTTGGTACTGAATGTCTTCCCACCACCCAAAATGTAATGATAATACCACAATTACCAATTCTAAGGAAGAATTATAAAGTGAATACTTCCAGATTCTGGGTTGTGTTATGTAAATATGGTTCTGTAGAGGGAAAGGACAAAAGAGGGCCTGGAAAGTTCACAGCCTGTCATGGCTGGAAATCCAAATAAAAGCCCTTTAATTTCACAAATGACAAATAATATAAAAGATAAAGTAAAAGCCTAAACTGCCTCCAGTCCAGTTCAAGGTAGTCCAGTAGTGTTTGGGTTTGTACAGTTTGTTAAGTGGATATAATGCTGAAAGAGGGAAGTGAGGTACAGACCTGTCTTTTCCATCAACGGGGCCTCCTCCACAACACAAACAGCAGCAGAGCACAGCGAGGAGCAACAGGAGCAAAGGAACCAGCACACCGGCTAGTACAGAACCTCTGATACCTGACACACACACACACACACGCGCGCGCACACGCACACACACACACACACACACACACACACACACACACACACACACAGACATTAAGAAACATGTGATTCAGGCTCATACAATAATCCATGCAGCAGCACACACAGATGCATTTTGATGGATGGACGTACTGTTGGGGCAGACACCAGTGACTGGGTTACACTGGACCCCCTCGCCACAGTCACAGACAGAGGAGCAATTGAGGCCGAACTGCAGGGCGGGGCAGCTACTGTTACAGCTGGAACAAAACATACAATCACAGAATTACATCACAACAGCAAACATAAAATTCTGTGTGTGAACAATGAATCGAGGAGGCCAGAGCATGTCAGAATGGCTGCCTCTGCAAAGTCCATTCATTCCTGATTGGGGACACCTTGAAGGGCCTTATCCCGCTTATACCATGGTCACTTAACAAAGTAAATAAGACGAATCCTTGAATACGACATGGCAACAGGAAATGTTTCTAGTTCCCTCCGCTCATAGAGACCTGTGGCTCAGCTACAAGACAGAGATGTTATGCTAGCAAGATTCAAAGTCAGAAACACTGCATATGGTCAACAAGACCAACTAAATATCCAGCCGTGTCATCATATGAAAACAGCTTATAATTGCAGTGCTCTTTAAATGCAGACTGTTAAATCGCAGTTGCCAGTGGTTCCTTAGCGTGTCACTCAGCAGCCACGACTGAAATAATGTTTGTTTTTGGGTTGGCCAAAAGCATTTCTGTCTGTTTAAATACCTGCACAGAAATTATTCACATATGCTGTAATAAAAAATGATGGACTTCTATCAATCTGCTCACCCAGCAGCCATTTTCAGGATATCGTAACACACAACAGGTATAACTTAAAAAACAAAACATAGAATGAAAACAGCTTCATTTTAGTTCTCTCTTGCTTGTGTGGGTGAGAATAGGAATAATAACGCTATTGTGTGTTGGTTAGGCTGTTTAATGATGCCAGTCAGCTCACCTCTCTCCCTGAAAGCCTGGCTGACAGACACATCTTCCTGTCACATGATGGCAGTTACCGTGGAAACAAGGGCTACACAGGAAGCTGCAGGCGTCTCCAAACGTCCTGTTAGAGCAGGCCTCCTCACACCTGGCAAGCCGGAGCGATGACACAAGGACACAAATAATGAGGGGGAACCAGCATTCATTATCTAATCCTATACATCAGTCTCACCACATGTACAACCTTTTAAACTCTTTTCCTTTTTAAGTGGATATTAAAGACAAGATCAAGGAGCATTTTCACAGACTTAACTTTCAACCATTACCAAAGACCAAAGCATCAAACAAGTGGTTTTACATGTACAAGCACATTAACTTTAGATGAGTTGAGATACCTTGTGCCATGCTTTGTAAAATGTTTGGTTGTAATGTAAAGTATATGTGATCTGTTGATCTAAAACACAAAAAACCCACAAATGATCCCATAACCTTCACTGTAACTTAAGTACACGGTCACACATATATGCCTCAAACACTCATGCACACCTGGGTCCGGTCCATCCAGGGTCACACCTCCAACATTTCCCAGTTTTTGGGTCACAGGGTTCACTATTCCTGCAGCGTGGACACTTCTCCTGGCAGCCGTCACCATAATAACCAGACGGGCAGGGGCTGTCGCATTGTGTACCGTTCCAGCCGGGCTCGCAGGCAGCACAGGCGCCGTCGGTGGCAGAGCAGAGCTGGTGGTCTTTACAGAAACCACAACTAAGGACAGAATATAGAGAGAGAGTCAGAAAGACAGGAACATGCAGGTATTTAAACAAACAGGTGCATCCTACCTTACACCTACCTCATTTTACAACCACTGCCATACTTCCCAGCTTCACAGGGCTGGTTGCAGAAGAGACCCTGGTACCCCGGGTGGCACAGGCACTGCCCGTTGGCCTGGTCACAGCGGCTGTGTGTGAGGTCACAGTTACATCGCCGGTCACAGCTGGGTCCCCACCAGTCAGACTCGCAGTTACATACACCGGTACGCTGATTACATGGCGACAGGTAGCAGTTGCAAGTGCCGAGGCATTTCAGCCCCCAGTGGCCCCCTTGGCACTGACACCGGCCTGTCAGCTGGTCGCAGTGGGGGCCCACAGATCCCCCGCTGACGCACTGGCACGGCTTGGAGCAAGTCGACGTCCACCAGCCCTCGTCGCACGTGCAGTTTCCATGGATGGGGTG